GCAGCAAGCTGTACTGCCATTTTAACAACATCATTCCCTGTAGGGTAGGCCGAGTGATTTCTCCTAGTATCTGCTCATACAGTACCCAGCTGCATGGCTACTCATCCATTCCCTTCCACCCTGCTGGCATTCCCAGCCTGGAACAGCGGGTGACAATGGAGCAGCGGGGTGTGTGCACTAGAGATTAGGCAGGCGACCGATAATTGGTGCCTGTGATTCTATTCCTGGCCGTGGGATTGACTCCTGGGGAGATTCTGGCCACTCATTTCATCTTGGCATCTGCTTCCTCTGAGGTCCCATGGGGACAATGCTGTGCCCCCACTTCAGAGCCACCTTGTGAGCAGTGCTGCACGAAGTAGAACAGAATGGAACAACCTCCCCCCGGGCAGAATGAGCTGGGGTCAAACACAATGTTGTGTTCAGCCTGAAACAAAAGTTTTGGTTTCAGGTTAACTCATTTATTTTCTTTCTTTCTTTTAACAAAAGAAAGAAAAACATCCAAACTACCCAAACCACTGAGCTCACTCATAAGAACACAGACAAAGTGGTTTTACTTTGGGGGAGATTTCATCCTCTTTTTCCCATACTGTTTGACCAGTCCAAGCTTAGGTCCTGTGTTTCCGATGCACCTTACAGAGTGTTCACCTAGCCCGACCTGCAGAGCTGATATTGCCATTAAGTACTGTACAAACGTGAGATGAAAGACATTAAAGTGCAAATTCTTTTTGCTTTGGGGAAATAGAAGAGGCTAAACAGAAAACAAGTTGCCACTCTGTCATAGTTTCCATGAAGCCTCACATCCAGCCAAGGACATAAGTTTGACTAAATGCTTCATTGGACCACTCTGTTATTTTAATGATGTGCTTAATGTGAAAAGATTTTTGAAACCCAGTTTAAAAGCCAGAGGAGAAGGTACATAAAGAGCAGGTCAGTCAGAGGGCACTGAAGTAAAGCAAAGTTCTCTAAGAAAGGCAGGGAAACTTTCCATGTGCTGTCCTCTATATTTGGATGCTCCTTTAGTGAACAAATGTGCAACCCCAGAATAACATCTGCAATGAATTTAGAGATAGGAGGGTCTCCTGCAGCAGAGGTAAAGCCAGAGGGTAAATGTCCCAATCCTTCTGCATATTATTGGCTCCTAATGCCACAAACCAGAGATAACACTAGAAAGTGAGGTGAGATTCACATAATGCTGATCAATTTGAAATGTACAGTAAGCAGAACTGCTTTCTGATTGCATTTCACAGTGCAGCAGCAGCAAAGTCTTTAGTTATTCAGGTCAGCTCTCACACCAGCAATTGCACCTCTGCAAAGTGAGTTGGGGATACAATCACACTTCAAGCCAGAGAGGACAAAACCCCATTTATTTTGACACATTCAAAGGCATCTGAGCATTGTGTGATCCAAATGCAGCCAGAGATGAGAAAGCTTTTAAAGTTTGTTTGGCTTCTGCTTGAGAAAACTCAGCCGGGATGGTGATGGTGGAGGGATGGCTATGGAACTGAGGCAGGTCTGCATGCAGGGGGATTGCAATGGATGCTTCAGGTTAGGAATGAGGTGTATTTAAAGATCACCTCTCCTGTAGCAGGCAGGATCAGTGGCTGGGCACAAGACTCTAGGGGAAGGTGTTTGGATTCATAGCCCAAGCCTTCCCCACACCTAAACACCAGCAAAGATAGAGAGTTTGTGCATAATCCCCCGTGCTGCTCAGTAAGCAAACATGAAAGAGAGAGCAAAGCACTGTCTGGAGGAGGGGGAGTGTTATCTGAGGAATACACTACTAGGTGTACCTTAGATAATCACTGGTATTAGGCTAAAAACTCCTCAACACCCTAAGGGGGAGCCTTTTTGCTGTGGAACTGGTACGGATGCAAGCCCACTGAGCTGGATACCCAGCTATAGGCTGAGCAGATATAAAAGGCCAGAACCCACCACAGAAGGCAGTGAACTTGTTTCTGTCACTGATGAAGGCAACTTCTGTGAAGAGGACTTGGCCCAGCGGTGAGCAAAGTGAAGGGAGAGGCTTCAGTTCCCTTCTGGGGGCATGGTAAGAGGTAAAATGGCCATGACAGTGCAGAGAGATAGAATCACAGAATCACAGAATGGTTTGGGTTGAAGGGACCTTAAAGCTCATCCAGTTCCAACCCCTGCCATAGGCAGGGACACCTTCCACTAGAGAAGGTTGCTCCAAGCCCCTGTGTCCAACCTGGCCTGTGGAAGAAAAGATGGGGAGGCTTTCTTAGCCAGCCCCTCAAGTACTAAGAAAGGAATTGCCTAAGCCTCATAAATAATAATTATTTCAATGGATGAATCATTTTGACTCATTTTAGGTCTCAAGTAATATTTAATAGTTCTGTGCAGTAAAGTAATTGTGGAATTAAGAATTCATTCGTCACTGGTGTATGTTCTTATTTGAATTAAGTTAAAATTATGATTTCTTTTTTAGAAGGATAATTTAAATGACAGTCAATGTGTTCATCACTTCACCAAGAGTATAGAAAAATCTAATACTAAAAGACTATAATCAAACCTTGTCCCCCCTTCACACACACAAACCCACACAAACATAACTGTCTCCCTCCCAAAGTGCATAAAGCTTTGTTCTTAGAGCCCAAAAAACACAACACTTGAGCAACCTTTCACATAACACTTAAGTAACCTTTCACACTGAACTTAAGAGTCTCTTTCTCCAAGCAAAAATCAGGCTTTTGAGGTCAGCCCAGACGTGCCGAACACAGGACTGGAGCCTGAAGAGAAAAATGTCCAAGATAATGAAAAATGTGCTTCTCTCTCCAGGGAGTTTTACAGAATTACTTCTATGATCAGAAATAATTTACTGATGGGAAATGAGATGCCAGTTAGGAGGAAATTCAACATTAGTCCCAGCAATTTGTCCTGTGAATTGCTCTCCAATCTCCAAGCACTCATTCAGTATATTGCAGTACATTGCTTAACCCAAGCAATGTGTGCAGAAAACCTCGTGTCCATCCTACAGATGGGGATGAGTCTGAGAGACCTGAAGTGCTCTCCCTTCTTCTCCTTCACAAAAAGCCAACTCCTCTACCTGGGTGAAGGGACAAAGGAGTGGATCTTTGGAGCCTGACAGAACATCATCTGGAAGAAGACAGGGAAACAAGACTCAACCAAAGGGGATCAAAAAGCAAAAGGGAACACAAGAGCAAAGCCAAGCCAGGCCTGTCATTTGGGGTTTTCAAGTGAAATGTTAGTCAGGACCTAACAAGGGTTCTTTAAAGCAGCTCATGCTTTACTATTGGAGTATAGTGAACTACTGAGATACAGGGGTTAGGATATGGCTGAACCAACTGTAGCCAATACTCCTTCTGAGTGCTGGAGAAGGAAATGCTGATGTGTTTTCAAGCAATGAGGTCAAATCTTTCCGAGTCTGACCTGGCAGCCAGGAGAAATGGGAAGTGAGGATCCCACCAATACACGGGACCAGCCTGGTAGGTCCTCTTGTAGGAGCAGACTGCTGGAAGGGAAAAAAAGCTATTAAGAAGGAAGTGGGGAAGGGCTGAAGATTGATGAGGTGGGCAGTGGCTCATGGTTACAGACCGGGGGCCTCCCTGACAGCAGAAAAAATAAGTTAACCCGAAAAATAGAAATCTAATCTACATTCACTTCCCAACTTGTCAAAAGCCCTCAGTGCAAAGCAGCCCCACTTGGCTGCACAGAGGTGTCCACAGAGGGACCCTGACCAATAAATCTGTTTGATTTCCTGTTATGAGAAGCAGACAAAGAGATACGGCCAGGGATGGGCAGAGCTGTCTGCATAAGGGAAGAGCCTGTGCTTTCACCCCCAACTCAAACCCACCCTCGCTGAGGTTAGGAAAAGTTCAGTTCACTTTGGGGATTTTTTAGCATTATTCCTCATCTTCGTGTGTTCCTGTGGGAGCTGGAAAGAGATGGGACAAAGCATTCCTTTCCTGCTGGCAACAAGCAGCCCTCAACATGTCACACACAAGTTTGCTCTTGAGAGATTTCCAGTCCAAGGGTGTGATCTTGCAACCCCTCCAGATGTGAATAATGCAGTGACATTTCTAATGGTGAGAATTCCTTGGCATTACTCTACAAGTGTTTTCTCCCCATCACTTCTTTGCTTTCTTCACCCCTTCATCCAGTGCACAGGACACATACATAGAAAAGGAAGACAAAGTTTTCAGATCAAAAAAGACTGTTTTTTCCCCAAACCCTGGGGAGAACCTGCACAATGGTAACAGCACTGCAGGACCACAGCCATGTGATAAGGTTCCTCTCAGGAGGTGACATCAGAAGTCGAAAGCTGTTTTGCCCAGTCTGTAGAGTAAGAGCCTGATCCTGCAGTCCCTGACCAATTGGTGTTTCATGGCATAAGTGTTCCAGAAGGATAGCAGGTCAGTGACAACGTCTGAAAGCAGTAAGGATGAATGTGGTAGTATTTCAGTGTATTTTCTGACACACCATAACTAATGCCCATTTTGAGGAGGGCCCCTTCCAGTGCCTAAAGGGGCTACAAGAAACCTAGAGAGAGGCTTTGGACAAGGGCCTGTAGGGACAGGCCAAGGGGAATGGCTTTAACCTGACAAAGGGGAGACTGAGATGAGCTCTTAGGCAGAAGCTCTTCCCTGTGAGGGTGCTGAGGCGCTGGCACAGGGTGCCCAGAGAAGCTGTGGCTGCCCCATCCCTGGCAGTGTTCAAGGCCAGGTTGGACACAGGGGCTTGGAGCAACCTGCTCTAGTGGAAGGTGTCCCTGCCTGTGGCAGGGGGTTGGGACTGGATGAGCTTTAAGGTCCTTTCCAACCCAAACCAGTCTGGGATTCTTTGTTTCTGCCAATGTATACTTTCAGTACTGCTGGTAATTCCCCTACAACTTCCCCTCACTTAATCGCTGCCTAGTGACCACAGCAAAACGTGTCAAAACCTTTAACAGAACCAGAACCAGGACCATGACCATGACTATGGGTGTAAATCTGCTCATCTGTAATTTTTTTTTCTTTCTTTAGAGAGGCCCAAAATCTATGAAAAGGAAACTGACTTTGATAAGATCGAGCGGGTGGAGTTAAGAAGCAAACACAAAATCCAGTGCACCGTAAGCGGGAATCCTGATCCGAAGATCGAGTGGAAGTGGCAGCCCTGCAGCCTCACAGACACGCTGTAAGTGGGCATTCCTATGGGTGAACATGGTGCAGAATAGTTTGGTAGTTTCAAGTCAGTTTTGCCTTACTTATCTTAGTTAAAAATCACGAGCAATGAACCCCCACCTCAAGATGTCAGGGGTTACAAACCCAGCAGACATTGAGCTGTGTGTGATCTTGGAGTTACGAGCACCTTTGATATTATCAGAATTGTGTCAAATAAGTTTAAAGTGACTGAAGATCAGGGTTCAATTTTCTTTACCTTGACCAGCAATGTCCCTCTGACTTACCAGGATCTTTTCTCACACCTCTGATGCAGCCTACACAGTTCATAAGGAAAAAACTAAATAGGTGCTTTCTGTGCCTGGGTAACACTCTTTCTTCCCCTGCAAGAGCTATTGTCAGACAAACCTGCTGAAGGCTTGGCTGCAGTTAGGTGCCGTATGGAATTTATGCTGCTTCCTAAGGGCTGTCTTCACCAGTGCACACTGAGCAGGGGCTCCTGTGGCAGCATCTGCGTTGCAGAAGCTGGAAGCAGTAATAAGGCCTTCACACCTCACTGAGGGCCCTTCCTGGCTCTAGTCTGGAAGCACCCTGAAGCGGAGACACAGAAGCAAGCCACTGGGTCAAAACTGTCAGAGAGGAGTGAGACAAGATAAACACAAGATGCCTTTTGAGATTTGCCTTATTCAAGCAGACGTCTTCTTTGCTTCTGCTCTTGCAGGAGCAGGGTGATTGATCTATACAGTGAGGTTTTGGCTGAGTTCTGAATGCTTCCTCTGGTACTCCCAGGGGACATGCAGGAGGCACATGAAACAATTCTGACTGCACTTCAACTCTTCCCTCTTAGAGAGAGTGATAAAGTCAGGTTTCCCATCCATAAAAAGATGAAGGCGGGTCTAGGAAGCAACGGAGAAAATTCCTGGATGGCTCCTTATTTTCTCAAAGCTGTCAATGGCAAGCCACAAATGAGGCAAAAAATCACAAGCAGAAGTTCCTTCCCCAGGACCTCTGCTGCAGCAGTTGCAGTGATGTTGGGTGATAGAGTCTCAGGCTGGGTCTAAACCATGACCTTGTGTCCTTCCACAAGAGAAATAGCCCATTACCTCATTTAGGTAGTTATACAGCTCCTGCAGGAATAGAGCAGCAGAGAGCTGCAGGCTTAGGTAGGGCTGCTGGCACTGCAGCTCAGGAGAAAGCACAAGCTGCTGCTTCAGAGGTGTTCAACGAGAGCAGAATGGAAACATCATAAGGAAATAGGTTATGCATTCTGTAGGAAAGCCAAAGAGATGACCTGAAATCTTTTCCATACCTTTCTGCGTAAGGAGAGGGAATTGGTCACGAATGCTGAATTAAGCCAGATTTGAACAAGTGACCTGGTGGCAAAAGACCTCATATAACCCTTGTTCCAGCTCTCTGATCTTATCAATTTAAATACAATTGCAGAGTGGTGTCCACCTCTCCTGGCCTCCGGGGCAGCCTTATCTTTTTCCAGCAGAAGCTGTAGGAGGATTCCTGTGGGAAATGACACAGACCCCATTTCCTTCTGTTGTCTCACTTCCTCTCTCTCTCTCTTTCTCTCCCCCTCCTCAGTAGGGCACTTTGAATGCCAGAACACTATCATTGTTCCTTAGAGCTGTGATGTGATTTGCTTCCTCTGATTTTTTTCCCTTCATCCTCAAGGCAGAATTGTGCCTTGCAGGAAGTCACTCAAGACATCTTTTAATTAGGCTCTTTGGAGAGCTATAAACCCTCCCTTGACCCAGGGTGTTGCCCATGTGCCTTGTGTGGACTTGGCAAAGGCACGGCTGATTTATGGCGCAGTTTTCTGCAGCATCAGCCCTTGGTCATCATGTATAAAAGTCCCTATTCATTTTAACTCCTATAATCCTGATCTGCTATGGTGGGCTCAGAGGTTGCTGGGACCACAACATGGGAAGTGCAGGGCCTCTGCTCAGGCAGAAGGCACTTTCCTGTTGTGCACCACTATAACTTGTGCAAGGTGCAATCGCAGCTGGTTGTGGAACTAAACTCATTTTGACTTCATTACTTGCCATCCCATAGTCACAGTTTGTAACCCCTTGCCATGCTGGACTGGAGCTGAGTGGAAAAAGCCTCAAGTTGTGCCAAGAGAGGTTTAGATGAGATGTTAGAAAACATTTCTCCACCAAAAGGGCTGTCAAGAGCTGGCACAGGCGGCCCAGGGCAGTGGTGGAGTCACCATCTCTGGAGGTGTTTAGAAGATGTGTGGATGTGGTACTGAGGGACATGGTTTAGAGGTGGCCTCAGCAGTGCTGGGTTCCTGTTGGACTCAGGGACCGTAAAGGTCTCTTCCAACTATTACATGATTCTGTGGTTCTATGAACTGTCAACTTTAAAATGAAAGCCCTCCTCGAGCTGCAGAGCTGGCAGCACCCTCAGCCAGGAGCACCGCTGAAGCCTGTGCGCTCTCAAGCATAAGGCGGTCTGTGCCTCTGCCATTTATTGCAAGGGCTGTAGTTAAAGAAGACACAAGCCTTTTGCTTTGGATGGTGCAGTTACACCTTTTCTGCGTGACGTGCTACATACACTGCTCTGCCCACAATCCAGAAATGAAGACTGATCACAGACAGACAGACAGATGGCTGTCTGCTGGGGAATACCCAATAGCAAAGGAGCCTCCTGCTATCATTATCCCAGCATTTATCCATTCTACTCCCTCAGTCTGCACTTCACGTTGGAAAGCCAAGCAGACACAGTGACATTCACCTCCCCACAGTCCTGACTGACTGGCATTTTGAATCCTGAAATTCGCTGCAAGTGCTAAGAGAGCACTTCCAGAGCCAGAACTGCGCTGAGCTGGAGCGAAACTCCTATCAGCCACATTAAACCCACAGGATTTCATTAGCTGCCCACTGTTTGCTGGTTTCAGTCTCCAGGATCTTGGGTGTTTCCTTGCTGGTCACGTACTGATCTTGGTCCATCTCTATCGAGGTGCTTCATAAGGAAATTTGAAATGTTGTGATGCAGGAATGCAGTAGTTTCACAGAGGTCCAGCAGCAGTAGCTTTTAGGAGGTTTAAGACCTAAGATTCTTGTCTAAGAATGACATCCTCTGTCTTTAATGATAACACAGGGTTATCTGCTGTGACTTGGGTTCTTGAACTCCATCTTTGCTTTTTTACCCCCAGATGCATCCCCGAAGGACAAAAAATGGTGGTTCATGAGAACATGGTTGTAGGCAACAAGATCAGAAGCATTGAGAACATAACCCTGAAGCATGGGGACAAAAGAAAGGTATGTGTCTGGTGGAAGCCTGAGCCATGATGTCATGGAATAGCAGAGGGGATGCTGCGCTCACACGGAGCTCTCCCGCACTTCCCAAGCTGCCGAGGGTTGTTGGCATGCTTCACATTCCACAGCCCTGGGATCATTCTCAGATCCCTGCTCTTTACATATGCCAGGATTCTGGCAATGATGTCACATGCTCTGGTTAAAACTCTCCAAAGATTTTGGGGTCAAAACCCTCTCTGTCTCCCTCAGTCCTGAGAAAGTGTAATGGTGGTGCAGTGCAGGAGGGGTCCTGTGAAGTGTACACAACTGATAAGGACCATGAGTTCATTAAAATACTTAGCATTAGAGAGCACTTGGTGCTGCCTGGCCTTGCCAGGAGTTCAACAGCTGTGGAATTTAAGAGGTCTACAATGGCCTCATTTGCAGAGCCTGGAGTTATCAATGTTTCTTTACCCATATGGGTTGCCAACCATGTTACCAAGACAATGAAGGTGGGAAGATCTCCTTCTTTCTACACTTCCCTACCTGCTTCCCCTTTCAAACAGCACTGGGAGCACACTTCCTGCATGGACTGCAATGATCCCAGCCATGGATTATCTGTTAATGCCTCCCGGGTACCTGTGGCAATAGTAAGTTGAGACCAAGTTGGATGGGGCTTGGAGCAACCTGCTCTAGTGGAAGGTGTCCCTGCCTGTGGCAGGAGTTGAGACTGGATGAGCTTTAAGGTCCCTTCCAACACAAACCAGCCTGGGGTTCTCTGATTCTGTGATAATCCTTGAGAAATTGCTGCATCTGATTCACAGACTTCTGCCATGTATTGGAGAAGATGCTGTGGTCTGGCTCAGACAGTTGTTTTATCCCTCTTGGTCTTACAGAGGTTTGTGGCTTTAGGAGTGGTTTTGAGGTGGATGCTCAGATAGTTTATAGTGCCTATTCCTGCAAGGTGCTGAATGCTGCAACTTGTATTGTGGTATACCTTTAAGCATATGATACGTCTTGGGCTACTCCCATGCTTAAAGTTAAGCACAACGCTTAAGTGCTCTTCTGGATTGGGTCCAGCCTAAATCAGCATCTGGCAGGATCAGTGCCTTAACCATCTGCTCTTTCTCATGGAGCTTTCCAGCTCTGAACATAATCTAAACCAGAGCTCAGAAAACATGGGAGACTGGGCTGGGAAGGAGAAAATCACTGTTCACATTTCATTGCTGAGCTTTCCCCTTGCTGGAAGATATTTATAAATTGGATTTATTTATATGGTATAGTGCCCCATAAGCTCTGGCTTTAATGTATTCTCTAAAAGCATTAGAAGCACCTACCTACAAAGTGCTAATGACTTGTAAAAGGGAGGTTAGTGACAGTACCTACAGGATTTCTTCTGGCTGCTGCATGGGCTGGCGAGAGTTTTGTGGCTCTCATGACTACTGTTCCTCTCCATACACAGAGTGTGTCTAAACCTCGTGTCCAGGAGCTTAGTTTGTATCTGATGATCACTCTTAAAGTTATGTTAGTGCCCGTATAAAAGTGCAGGGTTTCACTATTACTGTGACCCAAGAGCTGTCTGTTGGGACAGTGGGACACCTCCACCACACAAAATGAGAATCTTTGGTTTATGCATATGTACAGCACTCACATTTCTTCCTTTATCAACTTTGCTAGGCAAATATGCAACTAGGTGGAATTTTAGTCTGGTAGTGGACTTACAATGAGATTTGGCTGCAGTCTCTGAATGAGGTGTTTTACCAGCGCCACAGAGCTCCCGGAACCAGTGGGGGACTCCAAACACATCCTCAGTCTATACTAGTGCATCATTAGGGACTTCCCAGCTTTTCCCTATCACCTATTTCCCCTAGAAAGAAAAGATGCAGCAATCTCCAGGTACAGCAACCAGAGGGGACATAGAGCTCCATTCCCACAGAGGAGTCCTCAGCACCCACCAACAGCTCAGTCCCGACACCCCCATGTTCTGCCTGCAAAACATAGTGGACACCAGAGTGCCTGGAGAAGGGGTGTGCAACTCTGTAATGGAAATGAGGACCGTGAGGGAACCTCAGCACAAAGACCCCAAAGCTGTTCTAGATGGGATCCTCTTGTTCCCTAAAGGCTTTGGTGCTGCTCACACCTTGGGTACCACAAGGAGCCCGAGGCTGCCCCTCGCTCTGCTTGCACAGCCACCTCTGCTCTCTGCAGGCTCCAGGCATCCTGCAGCATTCGTTTGTCAGACATGTTCAAAAGCTCAGCCTACAACCCTTTACCTTGAGCTTTCACATATTTCATTACTAAAGTTTCATAAAAGTACTACCTTACAAGCTACATAATTGTACAATTTATGGTATCTTCATTATTTCAATCTCCTGCTGACCCACCGGTTGAAAAAACATTCTGAGGTGTTTCCTAATAACTTTTATGTCCTGATTCAGATTTATTCAAATTAATAAAACTAGACTTTATGCATCTCAGGTTTCAGCACTCTGTCTCCCTGCTTACATTAGCAGACAATTCTTCTCCTTCCCCCTTTCTGAAGTCCAAGGCTATCTGGGTTAAGTCTTTAGTCTTTAGATAATAGAATATAACTCAAAAAGAGACACTGATGAAAACTCATAGTCTTCAGCCTTCTCCTCGTGTTTTATCAGTCGTTATTCCCACCACAAATGGAATAGACAGGAAACAGCCCAATCCATTCCCACCATGTCCTAGCAAGTAATTCATCTGTATTGACTAGCCAGATGAAATAATAAAGATGTTGGAGTCTGAGCGTGGCTTTTATTGACTGTGGAATGAAGCTGGGATTAGCTGAGAGGGGTTATTTTTCCTGTGTGGGTTGAGTCTGCCCAGTGATAGCTGGAGCCTCAGAGCAGAAGGTGGAATTTACCTTGTCTCCAAGATTTCTCAGCATCCCTACAGTTCACCCTTGGAGAACTGTAGCAGTACATGCTGGTCCACTGACCTAGCTAAAAATGCATCAACTTTATAGAGCTGCTGAGAATATGGGAACAATCCACCAGATCCAGAATCTTGCTCCAAAGCCAGAGTAGCAAGCATGGATTTTTCCAGCAGACCACTGATGCTTGATGTGATCTTTAGACACCTATTTGACAAGAGCGGCATATAAACCTGAGAGTTCTCTTGCCATCTGCACCATAATGATTATTCCACCATTATTCCACAGACAGAGAAGTGAATTTCACCCCCTCCTGTATTCTTAAGGCTGAGTCTAATTCCTAAGGAAAAGCATGTGGTTATCATTAACGTTATGATGTACTTCACTGAGGTTTTGGTCAAATAGTGGTTGAGGCAATTGGATTGTGCTAGTTTTAATTTTCCTGATGATTTTGAGTCAATATTGAACCTTTCCCTTTGTGGTTTAAACTCCTGTGTAGCTACATCTAAAGACTACTTTTTAACACAAGGTGAAACAAGCCTGATTGCCTGAACTGCCTCAATTTCCTCTTCGAGTTGCAAGGAGCTAGGGTGCTATTTTATTTTCTTCCCTGTTAGTAAACGGGCCATCCTGGTCTGAGCTTGGGAGAACAGGACATGGCAGAAAAGAACAGAAGTCCATAACCACTCAAGAAAATAACCCCCCAGAATGCCAGGTTTAAACCTCAGGAGCAAAAGGAGGAGACTGGAGTAGTGGGATGGGTTTAAATGTGTGAGCATCTCAGTAGGGCTGTTTAAATTTCCCCCCCTGGGTGGGAGCACATCTGAGGAAGCTCCCACGGGCCTTGTCACGTTAAGTCTGTGGCAGGGGAAAGGATGGCCAGAGAGCTCTCGGTCCATCTGTACTAGAAACGTGTACCAGTTCCTCCAGTATTCCATTTCCTGCTCTGTACAGCACCTTTCCTGATCACACAGCACTACCATCCGCTCTGCTGTGCTCCATGAGGAAAGCAAGGATTGTTCTCATTTTACAGGGAGAGAAACACCCACTGCCAGAGATGAGAGCAAACCCTCCAAGTTCCCACTCAACTCCCAGACTTCTCTTATCGCTTGTTCTCAGTCCATCCTTTAGCATGTTTTGAATGAATGAACTAAGCTCATGGATCAGAATTGTCAGGCTATAAAAATAAGTGTTATGCTGTGCCATTCATGTAGATGGATTGGGAGCTAGCTGAGTATTCTCTTTGCGGGGTCTCTGGTGAAGTTCCTGTAATTCCACCTCCTCCCCAGCTCTGGCAGAGTTACACAGCTGAGAAGTTTCCCACCCACATCTTCTACTCCTCATCCTCACCCACACAGAGCTAACGAAGTGCAAGAGAGAACTGTTAACTAAAGCTGTTGGAGAGGGGAATTAGACAAAGCAAAGAGAAAGCAAGAAATAACAAGATATATTAATTCATGCTGGCTCCAGCTTAAAAAGTCTTGTTGCTCTGTCCTTACTACAAGATGTCTTCAAACACTCATGGTACATGGCTGTGGAATGTTTTTTGGCTGTTTCTAAAATGCTTTTTTTTATCACTTCAGGAACATTACAGTGCAAGACATATGGACTGTATTGAACTGTTCTGTTACAAGTTTTCCCAGCAGCAATGTCTAGTTACTTGTCAAAGCTGTTCTTCAGAGATCAGTCATTTTATTTCTTTTCCTACCAAGTCTTAAACTTCATGTATTCTTTTATAGTAATTATTTATTAGCTAATCATCCCCTCTTCAGGCTCACAATATTGAGTGGCCTTTAGGTTAAGCAATAGGAAATGGAGCCCTTTACTTCCAAATTCAACCCAGGCAATCAAAACCAGCCCAAAGGATGTTTGGTGAACTCTCAGGACCCTGCTCCAGCTCCACATCCAGTTCCAACCCCTGCCACAGGCAGGGACACCTTCCACTAGACCCGGTTGCTCCAAGCCCCTGTGTCCAACCTGGCCTTGAACACTGCCAGGGATGGGGCAGCCACAGCTTCTCTGGGCACCCTGTGCCAGCGCCTCAGCACCCTCACAGGGAAGAGCTTCTGCCTAAGAGCTCATCTCAGTCTCCCCTCTGTCAGGTTAAAGCCATTCCCCTTGTCCTGTCCCTACATCCCTTGTCCCAAGCCCCTCTCCAGGTTTCCTGTAGCCCCTTTAGGCACTGGAGCTGCTCTAAGGTCTCCCCTTAAGGAGCCTTCTCTTCTCCAGGCTGACCCAGCCCAGCTCTCTCAGCCTGGCTCCAGAGCAGAGCTGCTCCAGCCCTCGCAGCATCTCCGTGGCCTCCTCTGGACTCACTCCAACAGGTCTCAAACTTTTCTATCTATCTTGGCTCTGATTCCAGGAATGGAAAACACTTTGCCAGGTGCATGGACTAAGAACACGAAGTAGATTAGCCCCTCTGAAGTTTTTCCTCTCTATCCCAAATGCTGGGACTGTGCCACTCCATAGAGAGAGAACCCTGTGAACAGTTGTCACTGTTACAAATGGGAACAGATTCCTGTGTTTGGTTGCTTGAGTTCGAACCATTTTCTCCTTCACCTACTTTTTGCAGACTTGAAATGGCTGCATTGAAAGTATGGGGATGGCATTTAAGGGAACAACATCCTTATCCCTACCAGCCAGATACTTCAAAAGCAGATACCACTGCTAGATTCCTAAAGGTTTCCTTCAGGTTCCTTTTGGTAAAAGATGAAACTAGGTGCTCTTGTAGAGGGAAGAAGGATTTGGATACCCTTTGGTATAGCATATTCATGTTCCAAAGCATCACACTGTTGAGGACTAAACCAGGATTAGATTTGTTTGGCAACTGAGAACTTTATGCAAGATGCTGGAAAGATAACTGGCTTCCCATCTCGGGGATTTACACAGGAGCACACAGCTAGAGTGAGAAGCCGATGCATAATGATTTCAAGGGATTCATCTTATTACAAGAAAATCACTTGAAATCCTTATTTCTAGCTGTGAAATCACATCTATTTCTCTGCTGGATGAGGCTGGTCTAAAGTCACATTTTGGAGGACCCTGGGTGGTGCTGTGTGATACTGTGCTAGTTCTAAGACAAGGCAGTTAAAGCGTGTTATCTTTTGTGCTCAGGTGCGTAGCAAAGTGGTATCCAAGTGCATAACAGTGATTTGGAGCATTCAGACAAGAAAATGACTTTCTCTCTTTTCCTCAGTCATTTTTTTCCCAAGAGTTTGTCCCCACATTGTTTCCCACCATAATTTTAACATCTCCCACCTTCACAGGCAGACACAAGTGGGATTAGCTAAGATGCCATCTCTGTAGAGCTATTTGCTCTGGTTTCCCCCCACTGCCATGCCAGACCTTTCCTGGGTTATGCAGTTGGAGACATTGGCATCTCTGTCTGTTCATAAGCATGTGTGTGTGCATTCACAACTGGGCTGCCAAATGCACCTTAAGGCTCTGCATCGGTTTTTAGAAGAGTCACAGTGTCAGCCCCAATACTTTGGCCATATTCCAGCATGGATGATTACATTCCCTGTACAAGTTTAACTGGCTCTACAGTATTTCCCTCAACTTCCCATCTAGAGCTGTCACTCCACAAGACTAATAGCCATTAAATAGCTGTCCAAATTTATCCCCTTCTGTCCTCAGCATGAACATTTACATTGGCTTTTTCTACTCCCAAATATACAATTCTAAGACCAGTAATCATGAGACGAAAGATGCTGGTCCTGATGCAGCAGTAATTCAAAAGGCAGGGGCAGCGCTCTCAACATGTGCTTTGTAATAACCTGTGGCATTAGGGCCACTGCGACAGGAATAGAAAGAGGAGGAGGAGAAGACGGGTTCTCTGGGTGATTTTATCTCCAAGTTAGAGCTATTTTCACATCATAAAGAAGTCAGAAGTGTACAGCTCCTTCTTTGGTGGACACCAGAGGGAGCTGGGTCCTGTTTTCACCCCCAAATTGTCCCTATTCTCAGTTAATTTCTGTGTTTAGTGCCCATGAAAAGTAGATATTTTTCCACTTGCCTGTTATTCTGCTGAAAATGTTCCCCATTAGAATGTAAAATGCACATGGGATCAAAACCTTTGAAACTCATTTCCCTACAGGATTTAAAGTGGCAAAGCTCAGCAAACCTTAAATAACTCTGAAAATACATCCTGCACAGCTACAGACACATTCATGGTGCAGGTTTATGAGGAGAAAAGGAATGTCTTGTGTGAGTTTAGTTTAGGATATTAAAAAGAAAGTCCAGAGATGCCTTTGTGCACTTCAAAGCACTCTCTGTAGATAAGGACAAAGGGCCAGAGGGTGTTTTAAGTTCTGATTCTCTAAGTCTAAGAGAGGATGGCAAAGAAAGTGGTATTTGTTCCAAATGTGAGGGCTCAGAGTTCCTCAGGTGAATGGCTGCAGGGGAAGCAAAGTAATCTTGCCAGAACATCTCTGTGTTGGTGGGTTAGACCCTGCTTTCTTGCCAGCAGCCCAAAGGAAGCATTAGAAATAATTAAAGCCATGACCTGTGGAAAGTCCTCCATCAGCTTGAGATGTTGCATGATGACAGGGACAGGGGAGCGCTGGCTCCTCTTTAAGAAGGTCCTACACAAAAGCAAGGATGAGGACGTCTGAGGAGCACAAGTTGTTAAGGATCTGTTTGAGTTCAGCCCCCCAAATAACTGAACGACTTCCTTTCTCTATGTGGTAAAGCTTAGAACAAGAGCTCCTTCCTTCTCCTTCCCAACCCTCCCTTCCCTCCTGCATCTGCCAAGAGTCACAGCACAGGCAGCTTCTCCAGAGCTTCCTTACTTACCATGTGAGTTCTGGGGAAGGGTTACGGGAACAAGGGGCTTCTAAGCACAATTTATAAGAGTGAGCTAGGGCCCAATGGGACCACATCACTCCCTCCTTTCTCTGGGGTTACAGCAAAGCAAACTCCTTTATACCACATCCCTAGGAATGACCTGCTTCCCATGCAGATGTGGTGTCCTGTTACCCGTGGAAACCACGACTGAGAAGCAGAAAAGAAGACAGATGTGGGGCTGCATTCCCAGTGGAGATGAATCTTCCAGGTCCTTCACTCCAGCTTTTTGCTTATGCTGTCACACACAACCTTCAGTGGTGTGTCACAGGGAAACTCTGTTTTTCACATGGGGTGCAGGAAGAAAAGAATGGGGAGGTTTAGAAATGAGGAAGGAAGAGAATTAACTGGGCTGAGGTGATGTGAGATGAGAGACTAAAACCCTTATAGAAGCGCTTGTGTGTGAGCATCACTCCTTACTAGAAACTACTTTGTCAACTGTTTTTCTACCATAAAACATACAACTACTCTCCAGCCTCTCTGTAAAGCCTCCAGTACACTCAAAGCCTTTTCTCTGTGCTTGCAGATTGTGAGCACACTGACTATGGAAAACAGCAGTGCATCAGGAATCTATTACTGTGTGGCTTCAAACAAGATCGGAGAAGAAGAGAGGAGCATCGAGTTCTATGTCTCAGGTAAGCAACACAGGAGGCACTACACAAAAACTAGATGCTGATGATCAGATTTACCTGAAGGTTTCATGTGGCTGGTGAGTGCTCATTAAAACTGCTGCATGGTGTGTTCTTGGAGCACTCCCAGGCTCATCACCACAAGTGAGGCTGGATCCTAGATCCTGGGTCAGTGCACAGCCGAGTTTGACATGTCCAGCATCAGACCTGATGCCTCCTTTGCCCTTTTCAAGCTGCAGATGCAGGCCCTGAGTCCTGCTGCTGCTGCCTGTGTTTTAAAGCACCACTCATGACATCTGAGCACTGTCCTCATGAAACCTCCAGCAAAAGCAAAGTCTTTTGTAGGCTTCCAGAGGCCTGAAGCCTCTCGCTGACTCAGAAGAGCACTTGGTCTCTGATTCAGTCAGCAGACACACAAAGGTGAGCAAGGCCAATACTGAGACCTAATCCAGGGCTGGTATCACTGCGAGCTGTTGTGACATTGGATCCCTGCCTCAGCAATTAGCCTTTGCAGTGCCCTTTAAGGAGGGAGGAGGTGGACATGCTATTTCTCCAAAGAACACAAATCCAAACAAATATCTGCTTAACCTTTCAACACACAAATTCTTTAGTAGTGAGATCAAGACCTACAATAATGCTTTTAGGAGAGATGGGAGTTTAAAAGGAGAAAAGAGTCCAGGGACAGCCTTGTTCAAGTGCTTAAGCAGAACAAACTGAATCATTTCTGTGCTCACTTTCTGGATGAGTGCATGTTGGCTCTTAGAATTTGCATCAAAATAACAAGTTTTAGAACAAAGAGTGCAGAAGTGTCTTGGAAGGTAAATGTCTCATTCTCACTCCTTGGTTTCTTCTCTGTGAAACAAGTTCTGAGGGCAAACAAAGCTCCCTCCTGGCAGTGCTCTGCACTCCTCTGCCTCTCCTGCGTCCTGTGTTGGTTGACCCAATTGCTCTAAAGTAACTGAGCACATTTCAAATCAGGCTGGTTCCCAAAGAAGGGCTCACCAAACATTGTTCCCATTCCTGGTACATAGAAGTGCTAATATGAAAATGTCACCCACTGATAACGAAGCTGGTGCCATATGGGGGAAAGATTTTACCTCCATTTACAGCTTCTTTCACAAGAATCCCAGAGTGGTTTGTGTTGGAAGGGACCTTAAAGCTCATCCAGTTCCAACCCCTGCCACAGGCAGGGACACCTTCCACTAGAGCAGGTTGCTCCAAGCCCCATCCAACCTGGCCTTGAACACTGCTTTAAGGAGACAGAAGAGGGTTAAAGCCTCCAAAAGACATTTTCCAAAGCCCTAACTCTTATTTACTTACAAAAACACCCTTCAGGGTGCACATCTGGGAGATACAGCTCAGGCACAAGAGGTCCTCAAGATGTTCAAGGCAGGCTGAAGACAAGCTATTAATTTTACACTTCACCACCTCCAGATGTTGAGTGTTCATGTGGGTTTGCTGCTGCTCTGAATTGTGCCAGCTGCTGCGTTTGGATGGGTTGCCCAAAGCCATATGTTCCCAAGCTATTCCCAGGCCTTTGCAACACTTGGTGATTAAAACCAATGCTGCAGCAACTAAATAAGCACCTCACTTATGCACATTCAAAGGGTTAGATCCATCCACGTATCATTCACAACTCTGTTTTATTTTAGTGCTGAAGATACGTAGCATTTTTCCCCCCACAGTGAGTTCATACTTCAGATTTGTTATTTTAAGTTCAATCTAGCAATGTTTTGAGACCCAACTGCTTTAATCATAAAATTCTGATGATGAAGGAAATGAATCACTGGACAAAATTACTGACAGTGGTTATGGTGGAAATGTTTCCACCAAAACACACCAGAAGGTGAACAGGGCTTGGCAAGACAGAGCTATTCTTGCCTGTGAAGAAAAGACTGGCAGTCTGTGCCATTCTGGGGAAGAGGCAGATGCTGAATGAGCATGACAGACTTATAAAAGTGCTGTGTTTAAAAATAGTGGTGTTTGTGGATTAGAAAGAAATGCAATCTTTCTAAATGTGGCCATTCGGATCCTAAAGTAGGTCGTGATGCAGGGGAAAACAGCAGCAGAGTGACCTGCTGCTGGGCGCCTTTATGTGATGGTCCTCTGCTGAGTAATGCATGTTGCTCCAATGAGCAGCCGGGCTGCTGTAAGAGCTGCTGCTCCATGTCTGCCTTCCGGGTGGGAAACAAGCACTTGTCTTCTGCTGGGTGCACTTGGAGGAGGCAAAGCGACCACTGGGTTACTCTCACCAGGAGCTTCCTCTGCTCTCAGTGCTGGAGGGACACGGAGGGAATGTTTGCGAGGCACCAAACAGCATAATGCCCTAAGCAGGCCACTTTACAACTGCTGGTTAAATGGATGCAGGGTGAAGCTGGAAGCTGAGATAAAGGCTGAGCTGGAGCCTGAGAGCACACAAACAACGTGTGGGCTTTTGGGACAATGTCTAGCAAATGTCTGCAGCACTTCACAGAGCTCTGTTCTCTGCCAAGCAGCTGCTGGCTGTGGGGCTCCACAACTAATGCAGCAACTGGTGGATTTGAAAGACCTGATCTCCCATTACCTCCTACCAGCAAACAAGCTGGTGGATCCTGAGCTGCTTTCAAATGTCCTGGATGAACTGGGCTCAATTAACTTCTCCCTGGTAAGAAATCTGAAGGTGACACAGAGCTAAACTCTCTTTTTCCCTCAAAACCTGTTCCACTAAGTCAGGGTTGAATGGTCAGAACACAGCAGAGGGACACATGGAAACTCCATAGATGCTGTCTGGGCTGCACCTGCTTTCTGGGACATGCCTTGCTTCAGCCTCGTGTTCTCATCTCAGAAACATGTATTTATCCCAGTGGGATAATGTCAACAGCCATTTTGTTCTTGCAGTGCAGAGCCCCCACACAAACTCCCACGGACACCACAAATAGCACTGGGGTCTATTTTTAAACCATTCCTTTGCTAGCAGAATTCATTTCAGTGAAGGGTCAGCAGGGTTTGAGATCACGCTCAAACCAAACCATATAAGGGGTCCAACATGATGAGAAATCTTATCATCCAGCCCTGAAGCCTTTCTGAGCTCCTTCTGCAGATGTCCTGACAGTCAATGTCCCACTGAAGCTCTTCTAAAACCCTTCATGGCACCAGAAACTCCCAAGGCAGTGCAGTAGTAGTGTTATCCACTCTGCCCTGGCCTTTATTCATAGAATCCTAGAGGATCACAGAGTGGTTTAGGCTGGAAAGGACCTTAAAGCTCACCCAGTTCCAACCCCTGCCACAGGCAGGGACACCTTCCACTAGAGCAGCTTGCTCCAAGCCCCTGTGTCCAACCTGGCCTTGAACACTGCCAGGGATGGGGCAGCCACAGCTTCTCTGGGCACCCTGTGCCAGCGCCTCAGCACCCTCACAGGGAAGAATTCCAGTGGTTTTGTTTTGTGTAAATCCTCGTTACTGTTCCTTGTGGAAGCAGAACCTGTCTCTGGCCTCTTCTGAGTATCACAGTCTTGACAGGAGTGCAACCATCTAAGGCAGATGACATTTTGTCACAGCCATCAGCTACTCAGAACTGTCTCACATCACTGCCCACCACCCACTAACACACCAAAGGACATTCCTGTCAGACTGTAACCTTCCCAGGGCAGTGTAAAGCTGACCTGATGTCTCCTGGAGGCATTCTCTGCCATGAACAAGTATAATTTACCTTCTAATCTCTGGCCTGTACCTTGGAAAGGGCAACTCTATATTACCGTAGGTTCACAGTAAATCAAATTATAGCTTTTGTATGACTGTACTGCATATGACAAAATGGGATCCCACCCAGATGAAACCTCTGAATGTTCTTGGGATATAAATGAATTATGATAAGAATAACAAATTATAACAAAAGCCCTTTTTCATGGGCTTATCTGATTGCAAAACTACTCTGTAAAATGGAGTTAAAGATTTCTACCCGAAAGAAAGCGTTATACTTCAAACACGAGATAAAAATCAGCTCTTAGATACCAGAACAATGCATGAACTGGGCTGTTGTACGACTGCTTGCCACTCTTAATTTGCATACTCCTGACATGTTCAGAGGCTTTATGAAAAGCTCTGTGCTGTCTCCAGTGGCAGGGCTGACCCTTTCTTCTTCTCACCCTCCCTATATGCACAGGCCTGATGGCAAACCCCCATCCTGCCAGGCCCAGGGATGGGATTTGGGAAGGAGCAGAAGTTTTGAGTTACAGCCATTATTGTGCAAAGCACAGGAAATTAAAAACAATTAATTCCTTGTAAATACAAATGGAGCCAGACTTTGCTTTGATTTATGCTGACTTCTTACCTTCCCGCAGTGGCTTATTTCCCTATTCTGCCCTGGAATCCCGCACGGCTGAGAGTGAGATTCGCGGCTACTACACTGTAATACAATATGAAAGACAAATGTTTGGTGACTGCTGATAAAAGCAAAAAGGCCCCATGGTGCATTCTTCTAGCCAACTTCTTAGGAGGCTTATAAAACACTGTATCTGTTCAGAGAGAGGAAGTTAATCACTGCTCAGGTTCAAGATTGTGTAAGCAAAGTAGTCAAAGAGATGAACTGACTTCTAATGTGCTCTGAAAGCTGCAGCTACTCCCCAGATAATCTGGGTAGGAGGAGAAAAGAGAGAGGAGAGCAGGAGAGCCTTTTTTTTTCTCACTCTTTTCCTTCCACTGTAATGAAAATCAATGAATATTCTATTGGAGCTGGAAGAGCTTCTTGAAAGGCTACAAGATGGAAGAGAATAGCACAGGTTCCAGCTAAAAATATTCAGAATGCTAAATAAAAAATGTCACTAGAAAGAATGAAAGGAAAAACAAGGCAGCCCTCTGCTCCCGGAATGTGAAGTTGGTCAAAACCCCTCTGCACTGACGCCACACACAAGCCAGTGCCTGTCCCCAGAGACGCAGTATTTCAATCCCTGCAGAACAAATGAGGCTGCAGGAGTTGGAAGTAGAAATTCACCTGCAGAAAAAGCTTCCTGAGAGGCAGAAGCAGGGGCAAATGGGGCTGCCAGCCCCACTGCTTACAGCCAAAGGCTGGCTTGCCCTGGTGATGCGACCAGACTCCTACCCACTGCTTTACCAGGAACCCCTTTGTACTTCCACTGAGACCCAGCACGTAGGATCAGAGAATGCAGGGTGGAGGGGATCTCAGGTCTCCCACACCACTGAGCTTACTGAAGGACTGAGCTAACTAAAGATCCATCTACCTTAGCACTGTAACTCCTGCTGGAGCAAGTAGCAAATGCTGAGAGGAGAAGCTAAGAAAAAGGCACATTACGAGGGTGCTTCTTCCCTATTTTGGTCTCACAGATTGAGGGGAGATGCTGAGATGTTGCACGTGCCACATCCCGTGTTTCCTCTTTAATTCTTCCTGTTTAAAGAAGCTCTGCTGGCCTCAGACTTCTGCCCCTGTATGATAAGCATCATCTTGACATGTTGGAACCACAGGACATCTGTTGTGAGGAATGGATGTACCACACAAGTCAGTTTGAGCGTACAGCTAGCACTAAGCAAGAGAACTGAGCCTAACAAAACACTGCATAAAGTAAACTGAAATTCCATGAAAAGAAAAATAACAGTTTCCACAGCTGTGGCCTGAGGGGTCTCTTCCCTTTTTGGATCTTTCATAAAGCATTTCTGATGCCAGTCTTTAAAAACCATGAAGCAAAGCTCATTGGTTCTATTCCAGATGACTTGTGAAGAAGAGAGACTTTTAATCGTATCTGAAAGCTCCTTCAGGGCTCTCTATTTTATATAATCTATGGTTTATTATAAGACAGATCAGTTATTTCACCAGCTTTGCTATTTATGCTCAACTGTAGCTTCAGCAGAACTTCTTGCAAGAGTTTGCAGTGTGAGCCCCTGGCCAGATTCCAGCTCCCATGTGGAATTTGTCCAATTGCAAGTGCAATGCATTCATGCTCCCCTTGAACTTCTGTCCTTCTCAAAGTACCATCCGTTTCATCCCAGCTTAAGAAAGCATCTTACTAACAGCTTGGTATTGAAGCAATGATCTATCAGATCTATTGCAAACATTGTTCATGTTCAGAAGGTCCAGAGCAGGTCTCCCACCCTAACTTCATCAGGGGTTCCTCAGGACTCTCAGCTGCTTGAAAATCCTGGCCAGAAGAATAACTCCAGGTCACTGTGGTTCTCAATGCACTTTCATTCAAGCCTACTGGGTGGACAGATGATGGAAACTAGCAGAATAAAAAGGGAAAAGAATATCTTTCAGTCACAACTTAATTGTGAGTCTCTGGTGGCTAATGCAGTGATAGGACTGTGTCTGTAGGCCAGGCTCTGGGTAGATGGGACTCATGCCTCAAAGTATTTCTCTGCTAAATATAAAGGCCTCAAGGTCTTATATGTCACTGGATCCGTTAATCCAGTCAGTGATCAGGTAAGTATCCACCAAGGCACATATGATGAAAATAAATCTTGGCATAGCTGGAGTAAGAGAGAATTGGGAAGATTGTTCAGTGGTGAAGAAAAGAGAGTGTTACTTCTGAGACATGGGAACAGGTTTCTTTATTCTTATGCAATTATAACTTCAAGCACTGATTGCAGATAGAAAGGGAAGAGCTCACGAACACATTTGTCTACCTGGACAGAAATCTCTCTTGATTAAACTCTCTTAGACCATTAACTGCTTCTATTTATAATCTTTCAATTCATTACTTGCAAATGTAATGATTACACTACTGAGGGCTGGACTACCACAGGTCAGCCCTGGGATGTGAGAGGTACCCGATTCACACAAGTCCCATTAAAACTGGCTCATTCCATGCCTGCTGGTCTTTGACATTTGACCATCAGGTTGCAACCAGGGATGTCCTCAGTCGTGACATGACTGTAAAGATGTTTTTTTCCCTTCCAGATGTGCCATTTGGGTTGCAAACAGCCCCGCAAGTGACAACCATCGTGGGGAACAACGTCCAGCTGACCTGCCGGGCCTCCAAGTACATCTACAGCCACCTGGGCTGGTATTCCCCCTCCTCTGAGGCGGCTCCCGCCAACTCCCTCATCAGGAGCACCAGTAACTATTCCATTTCGTTGACACTGGTCATCACTAACGTCACCAAGGAACAGAGTGGCCTCTACAGATGCAGAGCCCAGAACCAGCACAACAGCACCGACACGCTGGAACAGCACACTCAGCTCCTCGTCAGAGGTACGTCCTGCCAGTGGAAGGTGGCAATGGGACGTGGTGGGGTTCTGCTGCATCTGCTGCTCCCTTTGATGCCTTTCAAACATCACTGCATGTGGATTCACACATATTACTCATCCAGCCACTGCTGGGTTTGTACAAAATATTTCCCTTACACACAAAGGTGAATTCAGCTGCATTTTATCTTCCTAACACCATGCTGGATGCAGATACAGTGTTGATTCAAGAGGAAAGCATCCCCCACCACATTACTAACAGCACAACTCTATCACTTGCGACTGTCACCCCAGATCTGTATGACTTTGGTGGAAGAGTCCACCCACTTGCAGCTGCCAGACACCAAAATAGATTTGAACCCAGCAGATTTAATCACAAATGTCACTGTCCAAGTATATAATAAGTGACAGGTACCATTTAGTCTGGGTAAGAGGGAAGCACTTCTTTGTCATAACAATATTTTCTTACTTATGTCCACCCCCCCTAACTCTTTTATTTTCATAAAACCAGTAACACTACAGGTCCTGAAGCCTATTTCTTTAGCTATGTAACTATAAAGGGCAGGACACAGTAGAACTCACTGAGAATCAGTGAAGTTTCTTCTGCTTCATAGTGAAGAGAGTGAGTGAGTGGCTCTAAGCCTCCTAAGCCTCCTCAGAAGAACAAGTGCTGCTGGAATGGGTGAATTTATTGGGTATCTTCCAACAGTGAAGAAAATTCCCAAAGCACAGAACTGCAGTGGAACTGCAACGAGCAGCAGCAAGCCAGGGAGCAGGAGACAGAGTCCATCAGAAGCTGCATTTTCAGACAGTGATTTTCAAATTTGCTTCTCCACTTACATCAATGGCTGATGAAGCACTGAAAGGACAGCTATGCTGCCACAAGCACTTGTCACTTGGGTGTAAACCAGGATGTGCTGTGCTGGCTTTGTCCCTGTTGAAGCACAGGAGCACACTTCCCATCCGGTCTCCTGCCCTGTGCATCCCACACCACTCTGGCACAGGGGGAGATGCTCACCTACAGCACAGCTCTGATATCCAAATGCGTAGGAAATGGGATGAGTACCTGCCTCTTCCTGAGGTGTGGAGAAAGGGAAGAATCTCCCCCTGGTATTGCAGAGGGCTGGGGCTTGGTTTGGTCCATGCTCTGACGGGAGACACTGTGCTCTCTGCTCTCTGCGTTCAGGCAATTCACTTTTCTCTCCCCTGGCAGATATTTTTACTCATTTAGTCAAATTTCCACCTACACAAACACCTCCACATGATGGCTATGGGAAAAGCACAGCTCAGCTGGGAATACATCCATGGGAGAACTGGAACCTTCATCACATTCCTCTGAGGATTACTGGGGTCTGTTATTTGTCTGGCACATCAGAGAGGCAATTCTGCTGGAAAACATGTGCGGAAATGCCCCTCCACCCCAGCCCTCCTTACCCCATGCAAAGAAGGTCTTTTAAATGCACTAACACCACCAGCTACTGTCCTTATTGCAGGTTATATCTGGCTTTATGCTGTGCTTGTGATTTTATTCACTGCTTTCCTGTACCTTTTGTAAATGAACAGAACGTGGAGGTTAATGTGCTTTGCAGTAAGCAGGTAACTGCACTCATGATGGAGGACACAGAATTCTTAGAACTGTTTCCTCTTTGCCTCCTCCTCTCTTTTTTTTTGTATTCACTCTGCATTTGCTCAACCCACTCACTGTCCTCTGTTCTCTTCAGAGGATGAGAAACTCAAGGAAGTTCGAGCTGAATCTGAATCTAAGCTTAGTCAGTTTGGAAACAGACCAAATACACTCACCCACTCCTCCCATAATCTTCTGGGGGCTTTTTGCCACCACTCGTCAACCAAATCTTTGCCACTTCCAGCCCAGAGAGGCCACGTGCAATGCTAAAGGAGAGGAGATGGCAGAGCTGAGGGAAGTGCCTTCTCAAGCCTCACTGTGCCCTGTTTTCCCTTGTCACTGTAGCAAAGGCAGCACCGTACGTGATACAGAACCTCACAGACCTGGAGGTTAACATCAGCGGCAAGATCATTCTGGAGTGCAAAGTCGGCGGGACACCAGAACCTCAGATCACGTGGAGGAAGAATGGCTACCCCATTTCAGCAGCATCAGGTGAGGGCTTGCTCCCCAAGCACACTGATATGGTATATAACATAGGATAACAGACTCGCAAGCGTAGGACCTACAATTCTGTGGCTACCCTGAGCATGGCTCATGGGTCAGCCATGAGTCAGGATCATGTACCCAACCTCAGGAAACACATACACAAATCCAAACCTATCAGACCACTGCAGCAGTCTCCAACTTGGACTTTGAGGTCAAAGCTGCCAGTTGCTGCAACCCACTGTGTGCTTATGCAGGTTGCCTTCTGCAGCATTCGTGTCTGCAGTCAGCTAGGTAGTGTGCATGCATTAGCATGGCATTAGTACACCAAGCAGTACAGTGTGCTGCTCTTCAGCCTGCTCTGTGACAACCACTTGCGTACAAAACCAAGATGCAGAGTGTACCTGCTTGCCAGGTGGGTCCAGAAACACAGGCCTCGACTGTCAGATCAGAATATATGGGTGCATGTTGTGGTCAGCACCCACCAGCCAGCCCAGGGCATCCCATGGCATGTTACACACCCTGTCCTTGTCTCCTTATGGCACAGTGATGGGAAGGGGCTCCCAGCTCAGCTGGTAGAGAGCAGGACAGGGAGAATGGACTCCCTTCCCTAGGCCTCAGCTCTCTGTCCCAAGATCTCCTATAAATCATGGAGAATCCCATGCCAGCAGCTGCTCCTGTGACTTTAATTTTGCATCTTGGACTAGGTAGGAAGTCTCGGATCATCCATAATTCACATCAGGCTGTTCTCAGAGAAACTCTTTATAGCTACTGAAATTCTATAAATAATTCTGGAGGGACAAGCATGTAACTCATCCAACCAATGGAAACATAAATAAAATATTGGGAAAAACCACCTCAGGGTAAGTATTTCAGCACAGAGCATGGTGAGTGCCGTGCAGTACTCTTGTTAACAACAGGATTCATGGGCAGAACACCCAGAAACTCAAAATGTCCTTCTCTTCTGGATTCAAAGCCTGACCTGCTTCCCTATTTCTGCCCCAAATATCTCTGTTTCAAGACGATCTCTCAGTTTTGTACCATAAATGAGGAAAAATTAAATGTGGAAAATGAATGAGGAAAATTGAATGTAGAAAAGCCTCATATAGGTCCCATCCAGTCAAACTCCACCTCTAGCCCCGGCTCCCTGTGAATACAGGACTTCACACAGTGATTTTTCCCGGGATGTGCATAACCTGATTTCTGTGTTCCACATGTCAGTATTCCCATAACTCCCTACAGCCCTCCAAGGCACTGGCTTTCTCCAATCATTTCACCGAGTTCCCTTTTTTCCCAGTTCATCTTGTTGCCATCAGAAACCCCATCTTCCCATCTCTTCCCTAGAAGCTTTCTCAGGCTCTTTGCTCATAACAAACTTACAGCCACATTTGCTGTTGGTTAAATGATCCTCGAAGGATTTACACAGGTATTGAGGAGAAAAAAGTGTCAGGGAAGGGCAGCTGCCTGACTACAATGAGGAGCACAGCATTCAAATACCTCCTGACAACAGCACGTACCAGGCCTGCTTGGATGGGAGCTGACTTTCAGTTCCCTGTCTCCTAAAAGCATTCATAGGCATGTAAGTTACTGTGATAATAGTGACTGCAATCCCTTCCAACAGGAATTTCCATGGAAAATAATACCCTGGTCATTGAGCGAGTGAAAAAGGATGATGAAGGGCTCTATGAATGCAAAGCATCCAACGACATGGGCCAGGACAGCACATCAGCCTTCATTAAGATACAAGGTGAGGTCTAAGTTAAGGTGAAACACATGGATTGTGTGGGAATGAGGAGAACTATGCCCCAGTCATGGACTTTGGCTGCATTTAGATTTGGTTGTACATTTAACCTACAGGTTCTGAGGAGAAATCCAACATTGAAGTTATCATTCTGGTCTGCACTGGTCTGGCTGCTACTCTCTTCTGGCTTCTTCTCACTCTCTTCATTCGGAAGCTGAGAAAAGTAAGAGAGGTTCCATACTGCAGAAAGGGGTTGGGACTGGGCTTCAGATGAAGCATCAGGGTTTGGGGATGACTGGCTGGGACAGATGGTGGAAAAAGTGTGCAAAATGCTCCTGTAAAGTTTCAGTCCAAGATTTCTGCTGACAGTCCTCTGAGTTCTCAAGAGATCACTCACACTTGTGAGATTCCTACCACTTCCACAGCACCATTAAACCAGGCTCCTCCCTCCTTATGAGCCAAACTGGCTTGCAAGATTAGGAAACAAAAAGCAAATCCAGAATCCCCTAAAATGAGGGTTTGATTTCAGCACTTGTCTAGGAAACATGGGTATTAAAGGGGGTCCTGTTTAAAGAAAAATCCTGGGATGTTTGCTCTAGAGATGAGCTCAAACCACACTTATTTTGTCTCCAAGTCGCTATTCTTTCACCCCCCTTTTATGACTCAAAAAAGAAAAGTTCCAAGGAATTTAGGTCAGGTTTTCCTAAAACAAACAGCAAACAGAAAAGCAACCACAGCCTCTGCTCTGTAACTCACCAAAACACAGTCCCAGTGCTGATCCCCAATACTTGGGTAAAACTTCCCCTTCTATTGCAAATACAGTGATTACATTAATGTTTTCCCCCTTGATCTCAGTTTAACAGAGTTGTGACAACAGTGAATTTCCTATTACACTTTTCCCTGTAAAAGTCTGCTCACAGGACCCACCAAGTCACAACTTCTCACTAGAAGTAGCAGCTTTCACCAGCTTTTGATCCATTTTAAATGGTAAGAAGCAATAGCCATGAAGTGGATAACAATGGAGAATTAAGACTGATTCTCACCAACACAATAAAAATGCCCGGACGCTCCCTAGTGCACCAGGAAATGCAGTTCCCAAAAGAAAACACTGATTTCCTTTAACAGACACAGGTAGAAGACAGTGACGGATTTTGTGTGCTCAGGGTGTTTACCACCATCAATCAGTGACTCTTCCCAACAGCCATGAGTGGCAGACATACATAAACATTTATTTCTCAGGCATAAAAATAAGAGAGGCAGGAAGCTGAAGTGGTGCATTCATGGTTTCCAATACATTTCAGAGCTCAGCCTGGAATGCAGGATGCTCCCAGCCAGCAACTCTCTCCCATTAGAACTGCAGGGTAAATACTGTAATTTCTCCCCTCCCTGTTTTTAGCCTGATGCCACAGATATTAAAACAGGATACCTGTCAATTATAATGGATCCAGAGGAAATGCCTCTTGACGAACAGTGTGACCGTCTTCCCTATGACAGCAGTAAATGGGAGTTCCCAAGAGACAGACTGCGGCTGGGTGAGTGCTTGGGGGATTATTACTGTGAAGAGTGATGGTTCCTAAGGCTCCCCTATTTCAACGGATCTGTTGGATAACCCAGGAAGCAGCCTATCAGTTAGTGCCCACGTACTACTGTCCGGGGGGGGGGGGGACTGGCAGTGAGTCACAGGATTCAGGATCATCCTTAATGGGGGAGGAAACAAGGGATTTGGTAAGAAAGCAAAGATGCTGTCACTTTCAAAATAGCTATCACCTCCTTTTCTTCCTTGGAGAAATGAAGCCAAACTCTTGGCAGGGAAGGAAGATACCTTCAGGTACTGTTCCTGCCAAAAGTATGGCTTCACATCCATAGAGGAAAAGGGAAAGAACAGTCAACGTGAAAGGTGACAGGCTTCCAGTGACTTTTGTTTTGAAGGAATCTATCAATTCACCAAACAATCAATTCCTTACCCATCATTTGCACTTGGCTTTGAGTTGTAAAAGAGCCATCACGAAGAAATGAACCAAGTTTCATACAACAGCTCAGCTCACAGGATGATGGAGCAAGCAGATGTAAAAAACAGGTTGTGTTTGTATAGAGAAACACCAACATCTGTGTGCAATGATGAGTGTAGGGAATCTATCTGTATTTGTGTGTGCTCTTGGTGCTTTAGCTGGAAAACATGGAACAAGGAGGAAGACAGACAAAAATAACAATAACTGAGATGATGGTGGGGCACAGGGTCAAACTAGAACCAAAAAAGAGACCATGATGCCCCGTGTACTCTGCTGCATTTTGGGGCAGAGCCCTCAGAGCACACTGGGTAACACAGGCATGAAGCTTTAAATGAAAGGGAAAATAAAGATTATCATCTTCAATTCCATTTGGTATAGCTTTTATGTCAAATAAATGTCAGTAAGTGAAGGGCTAAAGGGTTCTGACCGCCTGAATGGCTTAGCTGGCTACCTCTCCAGACTGTGGTTTATGAGAGATGAGGGTTCCACAATTCTATGTTTAACCCAGACTCTGACTTTCCTGGCCTTCAGGATGACTACACGTAATGTTTTTACCCTTAAGCCACATGTATGCATTCAGCCTTGCCTTCAGCTGAATGCAGATTGATTTATTCTACTCTGTTCTATCACATACTGTATTGCATTAAAGCCATATGGATATAAATCACACTGGTTATATCCATATGCTGCAAATATGTGATACAGGCTTCCGTTGACTATCGGTCTACGTCTACGTTGTGCCTGGGCACTGGAGCCTTGTGTGTCTTGCAGAGCTGAGAATGCATGATTCCCTCTTAATCTGATGCAGACTGTCAAGTCCCCCTTAGCTCACTCTTGACTCTTGCTTCTCTAGGTAAAACACTGGGTCATGGTGCTTTTGGGAAGGTGGTGGAAGCGTCTGCTTTTGGCATTGATAAATCTTCAACCTGCAAAACAGTTGCCGTAAAAATGCTTAAAGGTACATATATCCCTCTGAGATTCACCCGAGATTCCTCAGGGAACCTGTGGGCAATGAGGTTTCCAGTTCTCAGCTCCAAACCAGGCCCAAGCTCATTGTGTTCAGGAGGGAGTGGGTTTGTCAGGGGGGAGCAATTAGTCATTATACAGTGGATGTTAAGGTATAGGGAACAACGAGCGGGCTCCATGCTGTGCTGCTCATTAAGTCTTGTATTCCTAGAGGAGGAAAACAGCAGCTTCCAGGTCTGTGGGGTGAGGAGGGAAACAGATTACAGAATGTAATTACATTAGATAGTCTGCAATTGGATCCAAGCCTTTGATCACAGCCCTTCCAGATGTAGAACAGTTCAAGGGGTTGGAAAAAGCAATGCCAAGGGAGTGAATTAGAGACGCTTGCAATTATTGAAATTAAGGAAAGCTTTTACCATTCCATGGTGGGGAATGAGGGAACCTGGAGACTTCTCTTTCCTGTAACATCTACATACAAAGCCTCAGCAGACAGTTAATGAATAAATGCATCAGCCCTACACTGCCTCACGGGTTGGAGGTTTTTAACCGTTCACTTGGATGTTTTCAGAGGTACAATGCATGCTCACATGGAGCTTTTCACAGCCACACTGCTCTGCATTGCTGCTGCATGACAGTATTAACCCTGCAATGCCATGAGTCAGGAACCTCTCTCATGGAACTTGCCTTCTGTTGCTGGCTGCCTCATGGTGCTCTGCTACCTTCCATCTCTCTCAAAGCTCAAACCCATCCATTCACCACCTGTCTGGACCTCCTCTGAACGTGGTCCTTCTCCTCTGCATTAGTCAGTGGATCTTCAGATCATCTTCTCTCCTCCTGTGGTTTCTTCTGTTCCATGACCATCTCCAGATCCCTGAAATACCCTACAAGCCCCTGATCCAGACACTCCCTTCTCCATTCAAAACTTGCTGCCATGGATAGCCCAGGGGTTTCATTCACTTCCACACTGTGCTTCCCAACTGATCCTCATGTCAGCTCTACCATCCTGCACATATCCAACAAACTATTTGACAGTTCCCTCATCATTTTACACCTTCCTCCTCGAGCTGAGGCAGCAGCCTCCTGCTCTAATCCGTGCCTCCCAACTAACATGCCCATAATTCATCACATTCCTGGATGAAGATTCTCTAGTGTGAGTCAATGCATTCAGGAAAGAAAAAAGAGGCTCTGGAGCTGTCTGCACTTCTGTAATTCCAGCACTATCTGTCACTTCCGTGAAGCAGGCTGGTATAGCTCTGGGGTGAAGGCTAAAAGTTAATGTGCAAGATTATCTGAAAAACTTCCAGAGGCTGTCCTGTCTGGATTTTGCCAGGCATGTTCCAGCACATGCCAGGGTAAATCAGGAGTAAAACCACCCGTGTACACACCCAGCTGCAAACACTGTGGGCTTGGAGTAGCTCCTTCTTTCTGACACAGTTTGGTGAAAGATGTGTTTATGGAGAAGTCTACAAACACAGAAAGAGGTTATATTTGTCACACATGATGCAAAGGCAAAACCAGAGGAAACAGGACACAGCCCTTTTGTTAAAATACATCAGGAAAGCTTTGGAATAAGGTGGAGGAAACAAGGCAGCATCTGAACAACGTCCTTGTCTGAGGGTGTCTTCCTTAGCTTTGGCAGCCAAAGAGAATGAAACTACAGTATCGCTGGCTGACCAATGTCATGTTCAGGGTTCACACACAACTATGGACCCTTCTGCTTTGCTGGGAAATGTATTTCTTGGGTGGATGAGATCTCCCACGGTGAGGCTCAGTAACGCTGTACATTCTACAGTACATTTTGGGACCCAACTTACAGATGTGTTGGATTCCTCCATCCCCTACAGCGGAGTGTTGCTCACTACTGTGGAAAAACATATTCTGAGGTATTGTAGAGAAGTAATGGTAGACTGCACATCACTCTCAGAGATGGAGGAACACGTTCTGTGTGATGTTTTTGCTTGAAGAGGTTGGTGGTTCCTTTGCTGAGCTTGCAGAATTCAGTCCTTGCAAAGGCTCTCTGGTATCTCATTTGGGGGGAGGGTTCTCCTACAGGACTTCACCCTCCATAACCCATGCCACAGAACGGAAGAGTCACCCAAAAGATAAAGTGTAACTCCACTTCATAAAGGTCAACAGACAATGAAAGGGATGAATTATGATCTGTTTGAGAGTCTGAAAAGCAAAGATACTGCAAGGATCCCGGGTGGGTTTTGTTTCCAAGTGTAAACAGGATCTGGCTGTGTCCTGTTCAAAATATCCTGTTGTGTAAAGATGATTTTTTTCCTGTTTATCTTAAGCAGAATGTGCAACTACTAATGAATGCAAGGCTTTAATGTCTGAACTGAAGATCCTCATCCACATAGGCCATCACCTGAATGTAGTTAACCTGCTGGGAGCTTGCACCAAGGCTGGAGGTGAGAAGTCCTCAGTAAATAAGCAGCAAAGAAGAAACACTTTGCAGCTACAATGGTGTTTGGATGTATCTGTGGTGGAGTCCAACTGTCATGCACATCCAGTTAATGCAAACATGAACATTTCTACCCCTACGCTCCTAGAAGAGCTTCTGCTACTGCAGAATACGGCCCCATCTCATCAATAGGTTTGGAACATCTTCTCCCAGTCAGTGGTGTCACTTCTCTGTTTTCCTTTTCTCTGTCCTTTGTAAACTTGCTTACAAAATGCATTATGGTCTGAAGGGAGGCAGCATCCTTAATGGCAGTTTGGTCTCCAGTTCCTCCACATCAGGCACTAAGGAGCGTTTCAAAGGTTCTTCTCCCTCTTCTCTCCAGCCTTATGAGGAGGATGCACCAGGCTGAGCACACACTTACTTGAGGCCTCCTCCTTCCCCAAGCACTTCACTCTTGCTGGGCAGACGCGGGCGTTTCTTGTGCAGTAGACAGGAAACCTGAAGCAGACCAAAGCTGACTGCAGCAACAGCAAGGGCTGCCAAGGGGCTGAGCTGACACCACTGGCTCTACATCATACAAAGAATCTGCTCCAAAGTGCAGACTTAAACAAAGGATTCCATAAATCTTGGACCTTTGTCACTAAAACATCCCTTCCCATACTGCCATACAAAGCATCCTTGTCTCTTATTATACTGTGATTTAACTTCAGGGTAACAGCTCTCAAAGATGCCTCTTTACTGCTTACAATAAACCTTCTAACAATTCCCAAATGACAAATTTAGGAGAGCTGAGGAAAACCAAACCAAACCAGAAAACCAACAGAATAAAAGAAATGAAGGGGAAAGAGTGAGAGAGCTGGTGCACACATCTGCTGTCATCTGAGACTCCAAAGCTATCATTTTCCCAAAGAAGTTCCCAAACTTCACCAGTCACAGTGGAAAAAAAGAAAACCTCAGTGAGGTGGATGTGGTGGGATGCCAGGAAAGAGATCTTCCCTCCAGCAGGATACTCCCAGCTCCTCAGAAGCAGTCAGCAACCAGCAACCACAGATGCTGCTGTAACCTGGGAGCCATGGAGAGGGAACTCACAGGAGCTGCTATAGCACTGCAGAGCCCATGGGAAGGTGGCCAGCTTTAGGAGGAGGGTCTGAACATTAGGATGCACAAGCAAGTAGCCTTTGCTTGGGACTGTGAGTAGAGAGGAAGTAGCATTACAAATGCTGGTGATTCTTCTCTCCTGTCAAGTCAATGAAATAGCTTAATACAAAGAGGTGCCTAAAAAGTGGCAGCATTACTAAGAGGTCAATAGTTCTTAACCAAAGTTAAGTGCCCAATGTATTATCAGCAAGCAATTGGTTAAGACTGCTGCAATTCACCGCCTCCCTTTCACTGGGACAACCTGTTTTCAAAACAGCACTCATCATCCAGCCTCAGAAAGGCTGCAGCAACCCCAATCTCTAAGTTCACTCTTCCCTCCTTGACCCCTCTGCTCCTCCTCAGAGCCCTGCCCTCAGCCTTTTCATTCAGTATGTACTCCTCAGCCCAGACAAGGGGCAGGCTGCAGCACAAACCCTTCTGACAGAGCCAAGCAGAAGCACTGCTCAGCTGCCTCCTTCCCAACATCCAAGTGCAGCTCTCAGCACTTTTCTCCTTTCAAGTTCACACTCCTCAGTCTGAAGCACAGACTTTCCAAACAGGACAAGTTTCCTGGACATAGAAGTCTGATCGCTTAGGATTGATAATAATACATGTTTATATGCATTCTAGTCCCATTGTTTCACTTTATCTTACATGTGATAGTTATAAAGCACAGTGATTATGCTAAAGGTATAGAATGCAGCTTCTCCCTTGCCTAACAGAACATACCAAAACATAAAAGCATCTTAAACATATGCATAGTTGGATAAAAGCAGCAATTGCACTGAACTCTACAGCAGTTTGCACAGAAATGAGAAAGGAAGATATTGATAGGACTTCTCAGGCTTTTCCACTGTTACCACCTAATGGGGAAAACTGAGTTCTGTATTCCCTCCTCTCTGTACCCACTACTGACTGTGTGCTTCTGCAGTGTCACTTCTCTGTTACCAAATTTACTCCTCTGTATAATAGGAGTGACAGCGTTTACTTACTTTGAAGAGCATTTGTGAGGCTAAGTGCTTTGCAGTGCTTCAAAACTCATTTGACTTTCACTGTCTTTGTAGGTCCTTTGATGGTCATAGTAGAATACTGCAAATATGGAAATCTGTCCAACTATCTCAGAGGGAAACGAGGGGATTTCATTGCATACAAGGTAAAAACCCAGCAGGATTCTCATGGCCACAAGGCAGAGGGTTGACAACCACTGACCACAACTTGGATTCTTTTCCACATTGGCACTGAGACAGTCTGGCATTTAGATAGGCACTTGATTGCCTCACTACATTTCAAACTGCATGAGCAAGAAAAGGAGCCCTTTTTCCCTATAGGATCTCCTTCACATCCTCTTCTTTCCTAGCACCTCCTAAGGAATTAGTTGCAAATACCCAAGCACTCCAGTGCATTTGCGAGAGAGCAGGAATTACTTGTGAGATACTACCCAGCACAAAGGGAGCAACAATGTCATAGTGAAAAACTGGTATTAACTGAACTAGGAAAAGATAAACCCTCCCCAAAAATTACAGTATCTCTCTACTGATCTGTCAGTCTCCCCCAGCCACCTTCCTGCTAATTTTATGGTGGAATATTGCTAGCAGTAACATAGGGGGGTTCTGTATTGATAAATGGGAAACCAGGCTTCATTAGCTGTGCTATTCAGGAAACATCACATTCAAACCTGGTTTGAGCTTATCTTCAGAGGACACTGTCTCCCTGTGCCATTGAATCCGCAGGCACTGCTTCATCCAAAGCTAAAAATCAGGTTTATACCATTTCTAGTCGCAGGAAAACTCTGACCAAGCAGAGAAAAGTCTGGATGAGTCCAACAGTGATTTGACTGAACTGATCAAGAGGCGCCTGGAGAGCGTAGCCAGCACGGGAAGCTCTGCCAGCTCTGGGTTTATTGAAGATAAGAGTTACAGCGATTCAGAAGATGACGAAGAAGGTAAAAGAAACCTCCTTTATGCCAGGTCTTTTATTGTAAAGATTTCTGTTGCTTGGCTCGTACCACCCACAGCCCCACACTTTACAAGCCTGTGCACAGCCTGGCTTGTCCCTGGAATCACAAATCCTTTCTCCTGCCTGTGCCCTGCTCCAGCTTTCTCACAAAAGGAGATTTGCAATGATGTGTGCATATAAAAGCTGCTCCTGCCGTGTAAGAGGAGTAATAGCAGTATTTTACCAGATCTGTGGGGCCAGTCTGCCCCAAGTCCCATCACTCGCTCACTATAAATAGTTTCCTTCACTTTTATCCCCAGACGTTGTTTTCCCTGTAGCTAAATGACATGATTTATGTTGGATGGAACCTTTTTCATCATCTGACCTCCTGCCTCTAGGTCAGTGGTTTCTAAACCACAGCTGTAGCGGAGAACTCACGCAACAACACTCAGCCGCAGGGCTGGGCTCCCCAGCGTGCAAGTGGCACCCATGCCTAAGAAGGGTGAAGCTCCTGCTCCAGTGTTTTGCTCTGTCTGTGATCTCTTGTAGATGCTGAGGATCTGTACAAGAGGCCCCTGACTTTGGAGGATCTGATCTGCTACAGCTTCCAAGTGGCCAAAGGCATGGAGTTTCTCGCCTCCCGAAAAGTGAGCTCACTAGAACGTCAGGGCTGACCTTCTTTCACAGAGCCAGGAGTATCTGATAAGAGCAAATCCAAATATACTCTTGTGCCTGAGTGATCTGCCTCTTGCTCTTATATTAAAGTGCTGGAGATCACATTCCACCGGTGGTTAAGCAATAAGTAGCACTGAAGGAGTTGTGAAGGAATATCCATCATGTTCTTGGCTGCAAGGACTGGCATCTGTAACATGAGAGTTTAGATAGAAGGAGTGTGTACAGATCCTAAGACAATTCATGGAACTATCTCATAAATAAATGCATAAAAGGCTTCTCATAAAGATCCTTCTTGTATGGTCAACAAAGGAACTACTGAAAAATGAAGAGGGAGTAGCCAGCTACTTATTTAGCTTGTCAGCAGTGTTGGAGCCTTTTGGATACAAAAAGAAGTATGTTTGTAGCCTATGGGGTGCCTGCTCTTCAAGTAGATTAAATGCAATACACAGGCCAAAGTATGCACAACACTGAGCATCTGCACCTACTGCCCAGCTCCCAGGGCAGCACAGCCAGAGACACACACACACTCATGGCACTGCATTTGCAAATGGACCTGCAGCTGCTGTTTGACCTCTCCCAAATTTCCCCCAGAAGAAGTAGCTGGAGAATGGCCCTCCCTTTAGCTCACCATACCGTGAAGGTAATTTCACATAGAAAATGATCTGTGACACTTGGTTTGTCCCCTCAGTCATCGTCTCTTCTTCACATGACAGTACATTTCAGCACATTCCCACAGACAGTTTCCTTCTCACCAGAAGTTCATTTATCTTTCCGTTTCCCAAGCAGGTCTCATGCTTCCTGCTCTAGCAGGGGCTCCTTGTCCACGCAAAGTCTCTGATCTCACTTGTCCTCATTCCTCTGCAGTGCATCCATCGGGATTTGGCAGCAAGGAACATCCTTCTTTCAGAGAACAACGTGGTTAAGATCTGTGACTTCGGGCTAGCCAGGGATATTTATAAAGACCCCGACTATGTGCGGAAAGGAGATGTAAGTGGAACGTTCACCTTGGGGGTTTAGTCCTCATGGGCTTGGGCAGATCAGTCACAACAGGTCTGGCAACTCGTTGTGTCCTTTGCATTCCCAGGCCAGGCTCCCGCTCAAATGGATGGCTCCAGAAGCTATTTTTGACAAAATCTACACGACACAGAGTGACGTGTGGTCTTTTGGAGTGCTGCTCTGGGAAATATTTTCTCTAGGTAAGAGTGGTTTAAAACCCATTTCCCCTCTTATGGCTCTATTGCTAAGAGAAGCTTTTAACGAAAGGTGATAACGTGGTGCTGTGTTTCTACTTCACTTGGTGCAAGCGCACAGTGCAGATCAGGTGTAAAATACAGACATGGGACTGAGGTCAGCGAGAACCCCTCCTGGCAACAAGTAAATACTGGGAAGGGGGAACAAAACACAGTCCAGACCCCGGACCCAACATCTGTAATAACTGAAAGCATCAGAGCACAGAGGTAACCAGCAATCTGCTGCTTGGGACTGCAATACTTCTGTGACAGCAATGAAGAAGTTTCCCTGTCAAACTGTATTTTTAAGCAGCCCAAACTGCTTCAGGAACCCACCCAGCTCCATGGCTGCAGAGGATTATGCCACTGGTGACACAGTGGCAGCCCCTGGAACACAAGGGAGTCTGCCCACGTGACATTCCATCCCAGCTTGATTATCTTCCCCACAAAATCTAAGTAAGAACAATGTATTGGCAGCAGCAGCCAACAGGTTGATAGGAGAACCAGTGCTAGACTCTGTGTAAGTCATTCTGGCAAAGAGGGGGTAGAAGGTGCTCTTCTGGCCGTATCATTTACAAGCCAGAAGGAGTACGAATGGTGTTGTGTATGCACTAGACATTTCACCACACAGAGCTGTTGGAAATCTCAGCCTCACTGACATCTGGTTACTGTCCAGCAGATAAAGCCCTGAACCTGAGACATGCAGTCTTGCAGACAGTCGGACTTTGCTGCTCTCACATTCGCTTTGCGGAGTGGCAAGTGCTGTTTTCCTGAGGGAATTTAGGAATGTCAGCTCTGGCTTTCTAATCAGCACTCACAGACAAAAGAAAACAAGCACCATTGTCAACTTAAGCCGATGAATTTTAAAGTGAACTCTCTAATCTTCTGCTATCTCTGATTCATGGATCAGTTGAAACTGAGCTCTAGATTCCAAGTCCAGATCTGGATGCAAAGTCTGGAGCTGTTTCTAGCCTAAACTTTATTTGGGGCTGGCTGCAAAGATCCCAACCTGATTTCGGTCCAAGTCTCTGATTTGGACCTTTCTCTAGTTTGTATCAGCATGCAAAAGAAGAGAGTTCACACTCAAATGGTTGACACAAGTGGCAGTTATCGCCTTCTCCAGCGTTCAGCCCTGTTTATTTAGAGTCCTGTTCTTTGGCTGCACCACCTCCACGGCTCTGTAACAGCATCACCTGCTGAGTGTCTTGGAACACCACAGAAGGATGAGGCTCCAGAAGTATGGGCAATGCCTCAGTTCCAATAGATTATTCCAGCAGATATATTAGCATTAGCATGCAGAGACACACTCAGAGGGGACAGCCTCTCCATTGAGCATCTCCAAGAAACCAAATGAACTGAATACTGATGATGGCAAAGACCACTGCAGAGGGCAGACTGGTTGTATTATTCTCAAAGGTCCTGACAGGGCTTAACAGATGTGAACTTAGGGTCATTTGGCCTTTATTACTGAAGACTAAAAATGAAAATTAAATTGTAATTTAATTTAATGCAATTTAATTTTAAAATTAAAATAGAGTCACTTAAATTAATCAGTATTTTTAACTGTTTAAAATGAAATTTATCTGGTTTGATTTGAGATAGTCTCTTTGCTTAATGGAGGTGCTTACTTGGAGCAACAGACTGTCCTCTTCTGAATTCAGAGGAATCTACATTTCTCCACAGAGCCAGTCCCTGCCCTCACTATGACACAGATCCCAAACTATGGATCCCAAACTTCCTCAACCCATGGCACAGATTCAAAGCAGTCCTCTTGGCTAAGAGGGTTTTCATACAGCTCACCCAGGCATGCCTGTGGCTTGGCACTACTCACATCTGCAGCTCTCCTGATAAATATTTAATTAAGGATTTGTGTCACCGATTGAATTCTCTTATATAAAAGTTTTACAGATCATTGGGAGCCAAGGGATGGAAGTTATTTGTCATTGCTGCAGGGGATGTTTGGGCTCCCATCTGCAAAGTGCTGCTTTTTACTGGGTCCCACACACTTAGTACCCTCTAAAGAAGGAACAAGGACTGGCTAGTAAAATGCACTTCAGTTCAGCCATGGGTCCTTTCAGGGTCAGAAGATGAATGAAGCAGGATGGCTGCTTCCAGAAGGGCTGGCAGAATGTATCCATTATGGCGATACACAGGGAAATCAGGACTTGAGAGACTTAATTTACATTGAGCTTTGTGTTACTGAAATGGGCTGAGCACAACTCAGGTCAGGTAATGGCAGCAATGTTTAATACATCTTGAAATCACTTGCATGGTGCATTACAGAGTGTCAGTGTCTCCTGCAATTTGGATGTGCACTGTTCACAAAGCAATCAGAGCTAATTCGGTAAACAAGCACTGCCTGGTAGCATAACATCAGCATCTTATTACCCTCCTAAAATAAAACCAAGATCAAAAGAGTGCTACCATATCCAGTGTGTGCCACAGCTTGGAGCATTTTGGAAGAGATTTCCCCCACGGAAAACGTCATGTGTAGATCTCGCCACATGCTGGAGCCTCATCATCCCAAATCCAAGTTATTAGGCTTATCACATAGTCCCCTTGGTCACAGTGTAACTCTGGGAAAGGGACACCACAGGTTTTATCCATCTACTTATTCAGAGAGATCCTGTGAGTTGACAGAAGCCTGTTTTGAGAACTTTGGCTAAGGGGTAATGCCATGTGAGCTGAACATTTAATTACCAGGGTATTACGATCATAATGACAGGCCAAAGGCAAAACTAGGAAGGAAAATCAAGATATAAAACAGAAATGATGCTACTGACTATTTCCAACCTACATAACTCCAGAAAACACTCTTAATACTGTCACCTGCTACTTGCACTTCAAGGGAATTCTGATGTTCTGTGGCTAAGTGTCCCTGAGCTTTGAACATCAGCAGAGCCTATCTGCTGTGGGGAGATGCCCTCTGAGGAGGTTGCCAGGATCTTTGCTCCCCAGTGCACAGTTTTGCAGATTGAGTGGTCACATTCACAGAGTAGAATAACTCTGGCACCAGCCACACTTTGGCACCCTCTTCACTGCTTTGCTCCAACAGATTTCTGCTGTTCTTGTGCCCCCAAGTGCACAGCATCGGACGGTGTTTCCAAACAGGAGGGAAAAAATGCAGGAATGTTATAGATGGTACCTCACACGTGGATTCCTCGAGGGCTGGATACAGATCCAGATTCCATTCAATCCCCAGTGTTAAGATTTGATTAAATTCTTTCCAAATTCACCATCCAGCCTCTAGGATGCCAAAATGCGCAAATGTCGTACAAGAAAGGTCACAACCTTCAATGCACACACACATTTACACAAGTCATTCCTCTGATGACAACCATTCCCACCAGGAACGGAAATAAGTCTCACTCCTTCACTTGACAACTGCTAGGCCAACTTGTGCGCAAGTTAATAGAATACTCTCAATCCCTTTACAGCAGTCTACATCTCAAAAGTAATTACAGTTGCTATGAACTGTCCTCCCAGGTTTCACACTAGCAATTGAGTGGCCCAAAAATAAGCAGCAGAAATAACTGATGAGTGTTGATGCCACTGGACTGGGAAACAGGGATTGTGCCATTCTAGAGCCTCCTCCTCATTTCTCCCCCCAGGTGCCTCACCATACCCTGGAGTGCAGATAGATGAGGACTTCTGCCGACGGCTCAAAGAAGGCACCCGGATGAGATCTCCAGAGTATTCCACTCCAGAAGTGTAAGAGCCCCTGGTTTTGTACTGAGAGCTGACACGTGTCACTTAAGTGTTACACAACAGTGTACTGAGGTGTGGAGGGGAAGGAGACCTCAGGAGACAACAGCTATGTATTTTGGGTTTTGTTTTCAGTAAACGCTGTAGTTGTGCATGTCTTGGGTGTCCCAATACCACAGATGAATGCTAAAGACAGACTGAGTCAGCTTGACCTTTGCTGACCAGATTAAAAGATCTCCCCACGTCAGCTGCAGTTCATGAATCTCAGTTCAGGAGACTGCTGTGTCAGCCTTGACAGAAACTAGGCACCCATAACTATGACTTATTCCAGCAATATCAATGGGGCCCAGAAGTCAAATTCTAAGTTATGTGACACAAAAAGCCTACAGGCTCAGCTGAGACAGGACTATAGAAGGAAAAAGCATCCCATGTGGGAAGTAGAACAGAATTCCAATGTGGAGATGTGTGCCTGTCTTAATCCAAAACTATGACCAAAGCAAGCAATAATGAAACAGTTTGGAAGCAAAGCGCCTGTCCTTTTCCTTCCTTAATACCTGTGGTTTTTACCTAGCTACCAGACAATGCTGGATTGTTGGCATGGCGTTCCCACTGAGAGACCTACTTTCACTGAGCTTGTGGAGCGCTTAGGAGACCTTCTGCAAGCCAATGTCCAGCAGGTACAGTGGTACAAACTGTTCCTCAACAAATGCCTACCTATGGGCACGGGGGGAAGGGGAAGGTATGTTCATTCCTGTGCACAGGTAAGGACTATGTCGAGCAGCAGTATTAGATTTGCCCTCATAGCAGGAAAATGGCTACTGGGATGAGTAAAGAAAACGTTAACTATTCAAAGGGGATTAGAGTTCAAAACTAGATGTTTACCCATCCATAATAAGCAGAAACTTACAGTAATTAAAAAAAAGGCTCAGTTGCCCCTTAGAGGAACAATAGGGCTTTATCTCACAAACAGTTTTAATTGCATTCCAGCACAGTGAACAGCTATGGTGGGCTGACCCAGGCTGGATGCCAGGAACCCACCAAGCTGCTCTATCGCTGCTCTCCTCAGCTGGACAGGGGAGAGGAAACAGAACAAGGCTCCTGGGTTGGGATAAGGACATGGAGATCACCTGGCAATTACTATCATGGGCGAAACAGATTCAACTTGGGGAAATCAGCTTCATTTATTACTAATCAAATCAAAGCAGGATAATGAGAAAGAAAACCTTATCCTAAAACACCTTCCCCTTACCCCTTCCCAGGCTCAACTTCACCCCTGATTTCTCTACCTCCCCCCGAGCACTGCAGGGGATGGGGAATGGGAATGGCTCCATCAGACACAGGGGAAGCTTCTGGCAACTTTTCACAAGAACTGTCCCTGTAGCCCCCCTGCTATCTAAACCTGGCCACACAAACCCAATACAACTGCCAGTAGCTGCTCTGAACTTTCTGCCTCATTTTCTGAGACTATGCTCACCCGTGCTCTTCAGAGCTTTAAACCAATGCAGTTTAAAGCTCAGAAAGTCAATTACAGAATTATTAAACTCATAACAGTTAAATCAGTTGTTTTCTTCTTCAGTAAAAACACCCAGAGCCATTATGTTGCAATTTAATTGAAGAAGAAATCAAACACTCTCCTGCAGCTCCTGCCAGTTTGTAAACATGTTCAGTGAAGCTAAGTTGAAGAGGACCCAGTTTGCAATATGAGGAGCTTGTGAGTTTTCTCCTATAACCAAAGGAAATGAAGGAGACAAAAGTCCTGATAAGGGAATAGGGCCCTTCACTGCCTCTTAAAATTAAGAAAAAAGTCAAGCAAAGGCAAATTCGGACAAATAGTTTTTAGGACTTTAAGGGGAGAGCAGTTTCTGAAGGGGTATAATGACAATGCAGAGCTTACCAAGATGTGCAGCATCAATTCCCTGTAAGAACAAGAAACTAAACCCTCTAAGGCTGCCATTTGAAGGACTGGCTCTTCCTAAACTGCAGCTCCTTAAGTTGAACATAAGCAAAAGGTCTATTCCAAAATCTGTTAAAGAGTCGTATCGGCCACAGGGCTTTTGGGGCTTCATGCTGCTCCCTCCCTTCTCCCAAACACATTGGATGAGACTGGTCCCTTGGAATTCCCAAAGACTAGGAGAATGCAATGATAATATCATAGAATCACAGAATGGTTTGGGTTGGAATGGACTTCAGCGTAAAGCTCTACAGAATATAGTAACCTTATATATCTGAGATGCAGTACAAGATGACCTTTATCAGCTTCATGTTCTCTTATGTTATTAACTATATAGGATGGTAAAGACTATATCCCACTGAACATCACCTTGTGTCCTGATGGAGAATCTAACCCCAAAACTTGCCCTGTGGAAGAAAACTTGAACAACTGTGTTAATCGCTGGAGTGCAGTGGAAACTGGGTAAGGAAAATGTATTCAAGGGTGGGAGGGAAGGAAGATTTCAAAGAGGTGGGCCCTGTTTGTGGTCCTCTCTCAGTATGGCTGTTCTAAAGGAGCTGGGCGGCCAAATGTGTGAGGACATTGTTCCTGAGTTACAAGAGATGAAAAAAAGAAGCTGGGCTGTGCTGGGGTGTTAACTGAGCTACTCACTGGTGCAGCATCTGCTCAGGTTTCATGCTGACCCCTCCACTCTCTTGCTTTCAGTAACAACAGCAAGAAGAGACCGCTGAGTGTGAAGACGTTTGATGAGGTGCCAGTGGAAAAGGAGAAAGTGATGCATGAGGTGAGTGAGGTGACTGCATCCTTCTGAACTGGGTTCACAGATCACCCCTCACCAGCACCATGAGCACTTATTAGAGCTTTTGAAATCTGTTTGGTAAGAAAAGAACTCACATCAAGCAGAAGATTTAGCCTGAGCATCTCACACACAGGTTTGTGTGACAACAAAAAGGGACCTGCATTTAGCTTAATAAATAAAGAGAAGCTCGTTCATGATGACCTGGCTCTGATCAGGCTAAGGGGCTTTATATTACATATTTCAATTGGGTTTTCCACCATAAGAAAATGACAGCTTGTTGAAATGGAGCCTTTGGAAGGAAATGTGTCCAGAACACATTCTGGCTGCCTGAGACAGCCAATCACTTGGTGCTGGTGAGGGTGTTCAGCTCTGAATAGCCAAAACCAAGATTCGAGTTCCTGCTCTACTTGATTCACACAAAGGGCTTTTCCTCATCCTAAGTGAATGCATTTATTGCTAGTTCAATGGCACTGCAAGGTGAGAGCATGGTGAAAGGTTTCATTTTCATTCCAGTGGAAAACAAAAGCTTATTTTGTTACAGAATGATGGCTCTGCTTTTGGCTTCCTTTGAAATTACAGGTTCCAAGGGTGGGAGGTGGCAGATCAAAGTTTAAGGAGGAGGCATGAAGAGGAAAAGGGCAAGCATCAGATGGGTAGGAGCAGTAAAAGGAGAGAAGGATGTATGCAGTTTTCAGAAACAAGCTGGTCTGTCCCCCCTCCTTCAGCTAAACCATTCCTCAGGCCAGCTCTCCTGGGAAGGACCAAACATCCATATTTCATGTCCATGACAAATACAGTGTACTTCTCACCTGTTCTCCTGTTACCATGCACAATTATTCCCTAGTATTTTGCCAGATGTAATTCCTGTGCCTTTATCAGTGCATCTTAGGGATTAGAAGGCTTAGAATTTCTCTGACTCCTGCAACTTTCCACTTGCAGGATAAAAATCAGTCCCTCTGAATCACACAAAGACATTTACTAGATAGATCTGGCATCAGTAAGAGATAACTGCTGCCAGCATGAGCACTACTTTCCTAAATGCTTCCTATTCGTGCCATTTCAAAGTAAGTCCTAATACATTAAGAGATCAGAAATAAATGTGATATTTCAATGAGGATCTTCTAAAGCAAAATGATGGTGTGATCTGCTTTTGGACAAAGTAAGTGCACTTGGCTTACTAAAATTATCCTAAATATCAAGACATTAACGCTGATGAGATCTTTATTCCAATTAGTTGCCCAGGAACTCTTAAAAGTGCTTCACCACCTCCCTGCAATTGTGCTGCTTAAATGGAGTCTCTGTTGATATTCTTGTAGCAATTCTTCTGTAAGCAAAATGCAAAGCAGCTGGGGTTTTGACAGACCTAATGCATTTAGGACTTGACTTTGTGCTTTGAAAACCAGTTTCTAGACTGATCTGACTAGCAACTGGTTTATTACCAAAGAATTTATAAAAAGGCTTTGGCTTTTCATTTATTGTTTTCTGTGACTGTTTTTTTCTGTTATATTATATAAAACTGATTGTATTTTCAATACATTTGACTGATAAAATAAGACTAAATATTGAAGTCTTTTGCTCTCTTGGTTTTGACTGACAGGCAGACATGCAACTTTCCAGCATCACAGAGAATCACAGAATAGTCAGGGTGGGAAAGGACATTGAGCTCATCCAGCTCCAACCCCCTGCCATGGGCAGGGACACCTTCCACTAGACCATGTCACCCAAGGCTCTGTCCAACCTGGCCTTGAACCCTGCCAGGGATGGGGCACTTCCCTGTGCCAGCGCCTCACCACCCTCACAGTAAAGAACTTCCTTCTATCTAACCTGAACTTCCCCTAAGTCTGAACCCATCACCCCTTGTCCACAAAATGCTTCAAATGCAAAGGATCCCCCCCAGAACTTTTAGTGGTTTTAAACCACTTAAAACAAGGGCTGTGCATGTCTGGGAACCTGTGGAGGGCTCAGCACAGTGACAGCCTGATCTTAATTGCAACCTGGAGACTCAGCTTTAAGTGCAGCTGAATCACAGCCTCAATTTTAAACCAAATCAAGACAGTTTAGTTGGACATCTCATAAAAAATCCATAACCAAAGTACAATGAGCTTTATAGGGTACAGATCTTTGCAAAACACTTGAATTTACCTAAATGATACTGAACTGCCACTTCTTTAACATTTCAATGTTTCTAATAGCATATTTATAGTAAGTATTTTTCTGAGAGCAGCCAGCATTACTGGATATGCCCTTTATGAATTCCTGTCTATTCATATACCAGCTTTCCTACCTCGATGGTATCCATATGTCATGCTTGATATCAATTTCAAGTTTGAAAATGTCAAATTATTTTGTGATACGTTCATTTTAAAGGGTGCTCGTTCAAAACACAGATCAAAAACTTGATCACCACAAAACCAAGGCAGATGTTGTCAGGCTAAACAGCAGCATTAACAGGAAAAGCTGGATAAGAACTGATCATACAGCCCATAATCTGAAGAATGGGCTTAATGTCATATACCAGTGAGACATCGCTATGTGCTAAACTCTTTACTGAACAGCACAGAATCGAGAGTTTTTATGCGAACATTTGCCCTCTGGGCTGCTAGTTGGAATCTTGTGATCACACAGAACAGCTGGTAGCTCTTACATCAGTAAGTAGTGTTAGTATCCAACACAAAGCAAAACATAGAATCATAGAATAGTTAGGGTTGGAGAGGACCTTAAGATCATCCAGTTCCAACCCCCCTGCCATGGGCAGGGACACCTCACACTAAACCAGGGCACCCAGGGCTCTGCCCAACCTGGCCTTGAACACTGCCAGGGATGGAGCATTCACAACCTCCCTGGGCAACCCATTCCAGTGCCTCACCACCCTAACAGGAAAGAACTTCTTCCTTATATCCAATCTAAACTTCCCCTGTTTAAGTACAGACAGCAACCTTGCTGGCAGACAGACAGGGATCCCCAACCTCTACAGCCCACAGTGAAGTTGGATTCTCCTGCCCTTGCTCTGTCTGCTCTGCAGCTGCAGACAGCTGTATAAGGTGAAACTCTACCAACTTGCCTAAAAGCAGCAGCATCACCTTCCTCCTCTACTGAATTTAATGTGTTCAGTCTGACTCTTCTCCCACAGAACCATTTCTAATGTAGAAGCCTCTGTGCTGTCACTATCCCTTGGGGCTCTGCTGATGCTCTCTTCCTTTTGCCCCTCAGGAGTCAGACAGCGGGATGGTGTTGACATCAGATGAGATAAAAAGCCCAAAGAGGCTGGAAATCCGCTCCTGGCCCTACGGGATCATGGCTCTAGCGTGAGTACTTTGGGCTACTTCTTTCGAAGGCAGTTTCTTATTCAGGAAAATGCTTGTTTCTGATGCTGAGTTCTGGAGTTTTCTCTGTAATCTATTGATGAGATTTCTGTTAGTTTCCTCTGTATTAAACTCAGTGATCTTTCCCACCAGAGTTTGTTCTACATCATGTCACCATTTTTTTACACTGAAAGAAATGACAGGTGAGAAAAAGCTAGTGCAATTTCTGCAGAGCACTTCACATGAGAGTGCACAGCCAGAACCAAAGGGAACTTCAGAGGGGATAACACCCTCACTCAGAAAGAAAAGCAACATTCAAGGAGTTTGCTGCATCTTTTCAGGCCTTAAACCTATAAACTCCTGGATGTTTGAAGGCAGGAGAGAAATAGAAAGTGGGAAAGGGAAAAGGTTACCGAAAGAAGGCCGGAGAGCCTGGCAGCACTACCAGGGAGCACTCAAATGCTACAGATTCCGTAGGATAGGAGTGTGATCTCAGGAATAACATTGTTTAGCACTAGTTCTGCTGCAGCACTCTCCCAGTGCTGTACCTGTTGGCGGATTAGCTGAGATCCGGACACGGTTCCATGGTTTTATCCTGTGCACACGGTGAGGATTTCTGCCCAGCACCGTGCATTGCTATGGAGACCAAATGGCATCAGCTCTAAGAAAAGGAGCTCGAATGTCAGAACTGCATTACAGTGACACTTCACCTGGACTGATTCAGCTCTCAATCTGCATGACGGCATGCTGACACAAACCCACCACAGACACACACACACACAGAGCATCCCAACAGGATTTAGCCTCCTAATGATTTCTGTCAGTCACCTGTGACTGCTGTCTCCCTACTGCATCTCTCCTGTTTGGATAAATAGTTGGCAGAGGAAGGTTGTCTCTTCCCATTCCAGGCTTTCTGCTGAAAACCAGCATCCAGCCAGGTGTAGAAACACAGGAATTCCATAACAGCTTGTTTTTTCGAGACTTCCAGGAAAACCTCCTGCACTGCTCTCAGCCCACTGGGATGAATGTGAAGTACCACAGCTCAGCTGGCTCAGAGCACCCCTGCCTGACCCACACAGCTGGGGCTCTCACTTCCACAGGGATTCCATTCATTGCAAGAGACTTGATACATTCTGCGCCAGCCACACCATGAAGGACCACCTTAACAGAGCTCTGCTAGAAAAGCAAAGCCTGCAGCAAGCGGGGTTTGTTATCTCCTTATTCCCAGGACCCCAAGTCCCACTGAACACACAGAGGTGTGCTTTTTCTTGGCCACAGCCTTCAATGAGCGGTTCAGGTCCAGCTGAGATAGCTATCTGACCAGCTGCTTTTTTGCTTTTTAATCTTACAGGCTATCCTTGGCCCAAATAATACTTTTAATGTAGCAGCAGAGCATCCTGATGCCCTCCCATTTGGGAACATGACACCCCTTGGCACTTGTGCACTGCTAACTTTTACAAACAAGCCTCAAAAGCCTATAGAATAGTCCAGGAGAGGTCAGAAGGGAGTGCTGGTTTAATAGGGGAGATAAAGTCACCCTTGTTAATTGTGTATCTCTACCGAAAACATTTACCCTGGATTGTTTTCAAACAGCCTTTCTTTCCTAAAACAAAACTGTTCAAAGCTTAGAATGTTTTCTAAAGCAGGGTGGCTGCATTTATGATTTCTGCCCAAACTCTTGCTGTTTATTTATCTTGCATTCATTTCTCTGTGGAGTTTAAAATTTGCCAACACTACACCCCACGGAGTGTCAGTGTCAAGAGTTTAGTGAAGATGAATTTGATACTCTGGGCCTGGCACGACTGTTGCACGGGACTAACCATTCTGAGCTTTAAGCATTTTATGCTGCTGAAAGTCACAACAATTGCTGTAGTGACAGACAGAAAGATTGACTGCGATAATGACACTGGAGTCAGCATTCAGGGAAGCACATTCAAATCAGAGGGGATTTAATGATGGGATGACTCTGGTGTCAGGTCTCATCTCAGAATATTAACAGAGTACTGCCAAGCACTGCCTTAAAATGCTCCCAGAGACTCTATAATCAAGTTACTGCTTAAGATTATAATAGGTTTGGTATCAGCTCAGTTGTCCTCCCTCCCTCCCTCTCCGTTCTCCCCCCTAAAGCAATTATCCTGAGCTGCTCTGAAATAACTTCCCCAGTTCTGGCCAAGTCCCATGGCACCAGCTGACAGGATCAGCTGATATGCTCTGGGCTGTTGATGCTGCATCCAGACCCCATCACTGAGAGCTCTGCCAAAGCCAAAGTCAGTACTACTACTGGAAGAAACTGATTTTGCTCAGGAGCATCAGGCATTCATGTCCAGTGCAAGGTGCCCAACAGAAACACGTTTGCTGCCCAGCAGGACTCAGTTTCAGAAGGTTTTTGCTCTGTGATGAACACGTTGAGTTTGCACATGTATTTACTGTTGTGTCACACAGCATCTTGCCACTATGACCTTACTTAAGCTCTCCGAAACAGAAGTAACTTTGAACGAGTAACTACTCAGGAGTCATGTAAGCCACTTCTAGGATTATACTATATGCTTAGAGTGGCAAGGACTACACAGAGTGTGAAAGGCTGCGGTGCCCAGCCTGGTTTTGACGGCAGCGCTTTTCATCTCACTGAGGCAGTGAAGGGACAGGTGACCCACTTTGCCCCATGCCAGGGGACACACACTCACTGAGTGACTGCTGGAACTTTATGTTAGCTGAACTTTGCATTAGAAGTGTTTCAAAACAGTGAATTCTTGACTCTAGCCCCTGAGTCTCTCTGGCTCTCTATGCCAGTAGACTACTGATGCACTGATACTGCCTGGGAGGAAGCCAGGATTTAATTCCTTCAGCACAGCACCCCATCTAAACCATATTAAAGCAAACTGTGAATCAGTCATAACTATCAGGAGGAAAAATAACCCTTTTATTTCTTTTATTGTAGACAAATTTAAAAATATTAATCATCTTACTCTGTGCCTCATTAAACACCTATGAAAGCTGCAGCAAAGCCCTGGAGCTCCTACATGTTATTAGGAGCAGACAAACTGCTCCACTTGGCAATGCTCAGCCCAATTCTTCGTTTATCCCTAAACAAAGCCTCTGAACAAGGCCTGGAATTCTACGTGGAATCACAGAATCCCAGACTGGTTTGTGTTGGAAGGGACATTAAAGCTCATACAGTTCCAACCCCCTGCCACAGGCAGGGACACCTTCCACTAGAGCAGCTTGCTCCAAGCCCCATCCAACCTGGCCTTGAACACTGCCAGGGATGGGGCAAGTGTGGACACAGTTGTCTACTTGTTTTTCCTATTGAGGGCATCTTCCTGCAAAGCAATAAGAGCTGCTCCACAGCGCTGGGAATAAGCGCTAGACTTGGCATTCCAGTCCCTCACTGAAAGGGTGATTTTCTTACAGTCATCTCTCTTTCTCCACGTTCCTCTTCAAGTCATTGACCCTAAGATTCAGGCTAATAGAAACTGGCTCCCTCTCACATAAAATCAACAGCTCCAGTAATGATTTCCCAGCTCTCAGTGGTTTTCTACCTCTAACCAAAACTCCTGGTTCATACAGTAGGATGAAGAAGTCTTATTAGGTCATTTGGGCCTTCCAGCTATCACAGGATTATCCTGTGGAATCTTCTAACCAGCTTTGACACCTCTTCAGAAAACTTAAAAAAGACTGAAAGATTACTTCATATTCAGGCTAAAATTCTCTTCCTTTAGTTTAACTCCTTGACTTTTCAGCTTCATCTGACATAGCACAGTAAAAATGGGAACTGTTAAAAGCCCTCACTACCCACAGTATCACACTCAACCACACTTGTTCAAGCTCATGTCCAAGACCTCCTAGCTATATTGTGTCCCCATACGGACACAAACACAGTGGCAGCATTCAGATTCTCATCTTTCCCTTTATCCTGCCCCAAACATACATATTCTTGCAAGGACAAATGAGTTTTCAGGTTGGTTGGGGTCCAAAATATGACCAGTTTGGGTCAGTGAGCAGCTGAAAGTCACAGTACTCACATGCCTGATGTTCAGTATTGTGCCGTGCTGAGAACACAAACAGCCACTGGTATTCTCTGTGGGACTGGGCTGAGAAACTCGTGGTTATCAGCAGATTTATCAAAACTGAACATCTCCTTTATCACCTCCTGCAGCTGCAGTACTCACACGTCAGGCAGAGGCAAATTAGCAAAGGAACACCTTTTGGGGCAGTGGAGAAGCACTGAAGCAAGCCACGGCCTGCTTTTAATGAAATTAGTTAATTACACAACCACTATGAACTTCTGGAGCTGCATAATTGTGTGATTAATCACATCTAATGCCTTCAGTCAGAGAGTGTTTATCAGTGGGGTTCAGGGAGAATTCTTCTCTCTTATATGGGTGGTACAATTGGCTCAGAGCATAGAGGTTTGCTTCGCTCTGGAGCATCAAGTGCTGGCCACCAGCGCAGGCCAGGCTGGTGCCTGATTCAGTGTGGCAGTGTCTAGGTAGCAAATGAGATTTCAAGGACAGACAGAAAACGGATGCTGCAGTCTCATTTTCCAATATACAGTCTAAGCATATATACATTTCTCTGTTGCTGAGCATGAACAGAGTAGACTGAAGTACCATTAATATAGAGCGTTGAAGGGAAAATTGCAAGGACCCCTGGATAGCTTTAATTTAGGAAATGCATTTAGATGAAAGGAATAGTTCTGGCAGTTAATTGCATTTTGGTCTGCCATGACCTAATGACAAAACTTGATTCTGACCTAACTCATCAGCTTTCTGTCTTTAGAGCAAATATTAGATGCCGCATTTAAGAATCCTTCTTCAAAGACCAGCCTGATTTCAGGGATAGGCCGTTCTTCCCAGATATCCAGTCCCCTGACCTACAGGGGCAGAGACCTATCAGGAACACTTGCTGGGAGTCTAGATGGGTCTGAACATTTCCCATTGTGTGGCCAACCTAAACCCTAATAACATTTCTCCTTCCCCAGCACCCTGAGATATGCAGGCTGGGGGCCAAGTTAAACAGATACTTTCAAGCTCCTCAGTCTCCACTAACAACTTTAATACCTTGCAAATGCGAAGCCAGAGCATCCATGGAATGGTCTGACACAAGTCAATAGAAGTGAGCAACAAAAAGAAAAATACATAAATAAACAGTGAATCAAAGCTGTGGTTCATTTGCTTGTGCCAGGGAAGAATTTCTCTACAGAGAAACTGTGTGTGTATAGAAAGGGAGAGCTGCCAAATGTACAGTGTACAGAAGAAGTTTCCACTCCCATTTTTCTCTGGATGAAGAGGCAAAGTCTAAATGGTGAACGCAAAGCAGAATGTGCCACATTTGTGATGAAGTTCTCTTCCCCTTCCTCCAACTGCTGTATCTGTCTCTTAGCTATTGTTTGGTTTCCTGGAGCAGGAACTGGCTTTGCTTTCTTTCTAAAGCACCACACTCTGAATCCACCATTAAGTGCTGGGAAATTAAGCACTGCAGCAGTACAAATAAAATCAGTGTAATGAATTATACAACTATTTGATGAGGTGCTGATTGTTCAGATTAGGTTGGGGTCATTAGAACATGCATGAAATACACATACAGCACCTGATTTTAAACTCTCCCAGGCACACTGTAAGTCACTGAACTGAGACATGAGTTCTGCCACCATCAGCCTATAAGTAAGGCTGGTTCCAAAGAGATGCTTGTTAAAGGGTCCTGAGCAAAGTGGAGAAGCCATTCTCACACTGGTATTCTTGAGAACCAGCCTTAAACTACCCACTATCCAGACCTCTTCCAATGAATTCCTCTCATGGAAGAAACCAGGCTTAACAGAACAGTACTTTTAGGCAGTCTATGACAGAAAGTACCTTTTTTTGTCTCCACAACACTTGCTGCTCCTCAAGGTCACCTTGTGATACAAATCCCCTCCAGGCTTCTCCTACTTTTAACATTGAAGTTGCTCCATGTGATGGAAGTTGCTGTTCTCCCACTGCCTTCATCACCTATAATAAGGGAAGACAGCAGAAAATGAAAGCTGGTTCTGTAACAGCATCAGTCACAGGCCAGCAGCTGAAGTGCTGGAAAGTGCTGCCCTCTGCTACTGTACTCCTCAGTGATGTTAAAGGGATAAAGGATATAAGAGAGATTTTGCCCTACCCTGCAAGAGAGTGTTTAACACACTCTTGCTCTTGGTATCGTTTTAAATTAGAGTCTGTCATAGATGATTTCATCCTTTATTATACTTAAAGAAAAGTCATAGCCTTCAGTTCTACTTTCAGAAAAGTCGAATTTCTACTGACCTGTGTCAGAACAATGACAGAGAATATCAGTGTATGCACAAGACAGGTGCATTTATATCTAAGATATATATGTAGTGCACTGAAATGTGGTAAGCTAAACAGACAGGGCAACAGCACTTCCGGATTTACTCTTAAATCTACTTTTACAACACTGAGTTATTTAAATTACCTAATTCAGTTCCCTTATTCATCTGTAAAATGTCGCTGCCTTACAGGATGCTGCCAAGGTAACTTGAAATGCTTTATATATTTATTTTTAATATTAATTTTGACCATAAATTACACATAGAGACAAAACCCTATGGAGACAGGGTCCATATATCTACTGTTTGTTCCCAACAGGAGGAGAGCTGTTAGCAAGAGCAAAGAATCCATTTTATCTGACCACGAGGCTGTCAAATACCAGCCAGCGGTTCAGGTAGAAGAGGACACCATGGACTTCACACTGGAAGACTCTGTTCTCCTCCCTATGGATCCAAACCTGGAATGCCACAGCCCACCTCCAGATTACAATTCTGTCATTCACTACTCGGCCCCTCCAGTGTAACCAGCCCAACTCCGGGCATCTTGTTCCTCACTCACATTGGATTCTTTCATGCCTCCATGCCTGGATAGAGAGGCTGGGTAAAACCAGGAGGGAAATCTGACAGCACAATGGTTCACATGTTTCTTCTGGCACATCTCTGATGTGAAGAGAAACGTTTTAAGAGCATCTTCTTTCCTATCTTCAAAGGCCTATTGCAACATATGAGGTAAATTAACATTCTATCAGAATCACAAGAGGAGCTGTAACCCAGAACTGCTTCTGCTCCTTCCTGCCCTAGCTGGGACTGCTCACTGGCATCTTCACATTTACAAGTTCCTTCATTCACATTTTACTCCATAAGAGTCACTAAGAGTCATGTCAAGCCTGTGGTCAAAACCAGATTCATCCTCCTGGTCCTGCACACTTCCTGCAAGGACTGTTTTGTACGATGGTGTAAAGGATCAAAGGAAAACAACAGCCAGGTTTGGGAGAAAATCCAAACCCAAAGCATCATCCTTGACCTGGGATCTCCGCTTCTGGAAATGTTACTGAAATATTTTGAAATCCCAAATATTTTGGTTACAATTTGTGATTTAATGATTTCCATTGCTTATAGAATGCATACCTGAAAATGCTATGGCACTGAGAAAGCAGACAGCACCCATGTATCAAGAAGGAGGCTGGTCTTTTGGGCCATCAGGGAATACAATGTAGTTAAATCTGTTTCCCTGTGTTTTCTCCTTGTTCAAATAGCAATTTATTTAGCATACATGCAATAGGGCACCTTGATGGAGATGCATGCATAATGATTGCAAGGCAAAATCACTGCCTTAAGAACCTTCTTAAGCTTAAATAGCCAGAATTTCCCAGTGCACATGCACATGTTCGTGTGAATGGGCGTAAGCATAAATGCACAGACACCCTTGGCACCAGCAGGGCAGCAGCATTTTTGTTTCCTTTCTGCACACATACTATTTACTAAAAAAACAAATTAAATTAAAGAAAAAGGGATTTCCTTTGGATTCTGCGGCATATCCCAACAGTGTGACCCTGGGAATGCTAGCCCATGCTAAACTGCAAGTCTTGGTCCCATGCAGACCCCATGCATACTCACAACTACTTCAAAAATAAGCAGATCACCCTTGTCATTTAAACCACAACACAAAAAAGTTGACTTTAGAAGTCGAGGAAGGGAAGAAGTTTCTAGGTTGCAAGCAAAGATGGAGAGATGCTCATCGACAGTCACAGCTATAACCTCCTAAGCCATAAACCCAGATATATAAATAACCCTGTACAGTTTCTTCCAAGGTCTTTGCAGCTTTTTGCTTTTCTTCTTCTATTTGACACTGTTTTGACTTCTTCAGAGAAAAAGAATTTTTCTTCATTATTCCAAACTACAGAAAAAAAAACAAAAAAAAACAAAAAAACACTTGCAAAAGAATTCAGTTCCCTTGGCAAAAAGAACACTTCTGGATGATGGGTTACAGTTGGCTACACTGAAGTAAACACAAACAAGCCTCAGGTATTATTAAACGGGGAAGCAAATCTCCAAACCCCATTCCATGTTAACTGTGAACACTACAGCACCTGAAGTAGGGGTCCTTGGACACTGCACTTCTCCTGCTCCTTACCTTCAGAAAATATGTATTAAGGAAATCACTTGCAGTAACTCACTTGTTCATAGTGGACCTGCTCTGTACTTGCTTTATGGTCATTTTTGCACTTCTTTGTATTTCAATACCTATGTAGTAGTAGAACTGGTTCTTTAACAGAAGAAACTACTGGGAAGGAATTCATGGGATGAGCCCCATTTTGCTCACTGGATCAGTTTTTCATCAAGCAGGAACTGAACTATCTATAGCTCTGATCAAAGAATCAATCGCTTCCTTTGGGAATAATTTATTCATATGGCAAAAAGCAAAGAGGTGCAGACAGTTTGTCTGGCTCTGTTGGTAATGGCAGCAGTGTGAGAGGGTTTGTTATTGTGCCTTCTTCTGCAGGAGACGAAAATGACAACATCACTTATAAACTTTTAACTAACTACATACAGGGAAAGACCCTGCAAGTATGCTCTGTGTTTGGAAAAGGAATGGGAAACACTGCTGGGTGAATGGTCTGCTTCTGAGACCTTAAGAGTAAAGTGTCACCTCTCCACTTCATCGAGGATGGACGGTAGATGCTTCTCCAAGACCAGAGGAACACGGAGCATGCTTCCTAAATGGGACCCAAGCAGATGCAGCCAGGGCCCCTTCTGCCTCTCAACATCATCTATCAGCATGCTGAGAGATGACATGAAAACAGAGCTCAACGGCTCAGGTTTAACACACTAGTGGCATTGGCAGCCCCTTGGACACTCGGGGCTCCTCTGCAGTGCCAAAATCACCTTGAGCTGTATCAATGGCCACTTCTTCAGAGAGCAAAGACACCCCTGAACCCACCACAGTGGCCTTTGGGTGCTCTGGAGACGGCCAATGACTGATGTTTGGGCAGCTCTGATTCCAATGTTTATTTTGAGTGGAAGATTTTTTCCCCTCCTTATAGTAAATGTAACAAGCAAAAGTATTGCCTGAAAAGTATTACTGAACATATGTCTTCTATTTTATTTACTAATATTTTGTTTGTCCTTTCCTTTCCTCCCTTAATTTAATTATGGTTCTTTTCTTACAACGATGTATATAGTTTACCCAGTAGAAACAAATATAGTGACTCATTTATACAGTAAGATTTGTAACATTTTAGTCAAAAGAGATACTCAGACCTAACAGAGTTAAGTATTGTTACTAAACATTTCACTAATGCTTGCAGGCCAGGCGCCAGTTTACAGTACCTACTAGTGCCATTTTATAGCAGTTCTCCCCTTGGCTGTGAGTATCTCCAGCTCTCACTTACTCTCCCATGTTAGTTTCAGTTAGGAAACAGGGATCTGGAGGAATCTGGCAGGTTTATCTCATTCCTGGAAGTGTCACCATGCAGTTCATGGTAAGGGTGAGGAGGTTCTACTGTCTCTGTTCTAGCTGGTGTATTGGCCAGAGAAGGGGCACGTTGTTTAAATGATGTGATGTTTATTATTTTTGCAGACTTCTCAGGGATTCTTACTCCACTCCTGCTTTATCTAACCTGAGGTCAGTGCTGCCTGGCATTAACACGTACCTTTGTGGTCTTAAATGGTGCCTACTCCTACTGGTTTTATCCTCTTGTAACCCCAGAGAACTGGGGCAGAGGAACTCAGAGCTCACACAAATGTGCTGTCTCCTCTCCAGCAATCCTCTGCCGTGTGGGTGTCCAAGGGTAAGCGTCTTCACCTGTATGGTATTGCTCAGGCTGGTGTTTTTTGCAGTTTCCTACCACCTCTTTTCTCTACACTTCATCTATTTCTTGATATTTGTTCTTCACAGTCCCTTTGGATTCCCTTCCTCTGCCTTTAAAGTAAGATCAGGTGTAGGACCCATTGCACTCTGCTCTTTCCTGTATATTCTGTGCTTGCAGAGGCTGAAATAGATAATGTAGAGGAAGCTTTTTTCACAAGGAAAAGTAGTTGATACAGGTTTGTCTGGAATCTCTCTGTATCCTTCCCTGAATGAGAGAAGCTTTTTAATCTACTGATTTTTCAATAGTGGTATCTGGAGCAAAACGAAGATTGGTGACTGACTATGTGAATCTTATCTTTCTCCTAGTGCTTTCTTAGTGAGGTTCTTCCAGGTTACCCTCCAAAAAAAGGGCTCTTAACCAGGATGCTGGCCCCAAACCATCTACTCAGGGTGTCAATGAAGGTCAGAGAAAAATCTAAAGTCTGAGTAATAGTCTCAAACAAAACCACTGAATGCTGAAGATGGATACCTTCAGGTCTGCCTGTAGCCATAAACTTCTCTGCTGAAAACATCCCACTAATCCAAACCCTACTCCTCAGTTGAACTGCTTGGCAAAGGCCCAGGACAACCCAGAGCATCCAGGCACTTCTCTCCTTGTATTTATACTCTCATATATGTAGGAATGTTCGCAAGCCTGTAACTAGCCAGTCGTCAGTTTATGACTTATCTTCTCAATGATCCTCCATGTTGAGCGTTGGCACTGCCCTATCATGTCCTACCTGCTTTACACATTTGGTCTGCCCCTCTCAGGATGTGGTTTCAGGTCAATGGTCTCTGGCTCCCACCAGCACCAACTGGACACCACCAGGAAATGTGTGCAGGGAAACATCACTAGCAAGCAACTATACAAAGGTTAAAGCATTACTGGGTTTTCCTGAATACAGGAGACAGACAGGATCAGTATCCCACTCAGAGATCAGCCTGTAATTTTTCTCTTGCCATAAAGTGAAAATACAAAAGTAGGAATAACTTGTTTGTCCCTCCCTGCAAACAGTAATGGCCAAACCCTGGGGATCATTTTCCTGGTTTTATACTACATCACAAAGATACAGAATTTTGCCAAAGAATGACACCAGCATCATCTTACACAAGTAAACTGCAGGGAGGGCTCTGGGTTCAACCCTGTCAGGAGTCAGTTGCTGTGTAGGTGACCATGCAAGTGTTGAGCCCAAGTCCTGGCTTGTTTGTTTGATGTATGTTGTTTCATACTATGCTATCACAGAAAAGAAAACTTGCTGGCCTGAGTCATTTGGTCCCCAAGCAAATATGATGCCACAGGGCCACAGTTACAGGAAGAGTAATGTGGCATATGCTGAGTAGTGTCCCCTTGTCCTGCCCAGCAATCCTGTGCCACAAGAGCCAGCACATCCTAATTGCTCAATTCATATTCCCTTAGACCTTCAGTTGTCAAAGCAGTTAAGGAAAACTGGGAAAAACCCAGTAACCTGGGACTTAAGGAAAACAAACTAAGGAATGTCTGTCTGCCATGTTCCTGTCTGTCTGAAGAATGTATGCACTGAAAACAACGCTTTCTTATGTAGTCAAAAAGTGTACTGTATCTATTAACCAAAAAAATAAAAAGATTCTATATTTATACAGCCCAGGGCTCCTTTGTGTCATCTCTTGGCTTGAAAAGTGTTGTCCTTGAAGCAGAATATAAATAAATAATACACCAGTTTTGAGAGATTTTTACAAGGCAAAGATCTCAATATCTACAGGGGTTCAAAACTTGGGCCATAACCTGCCCCAGTGCCATTGCTCAAAGGCATCCAACCACTGCATTTGCTTTAAAGACTCAAACATCTCAGAAAATGAGGGGGCGATTTGCTGGAGACATCCTCAAACAGCCCATGAAACACAGAGATTGGTGTCTGGGTACAGTCAAAATACACAAACAAAGGGAACCGATAGAAAACAGAAACAGAATTCTGCATTCTAAAATAGACTCAAGTTCACCAAAGCACCTATGCCTGTGAAGATAATTTGCAGAACATAGAATCCCAGACTGGTTTGGGTTGAAGGGACCTCAAAGCTCACCCAGTTCCAACCCCTTGCCATGGGCAGGGACACCTTCCACTAGAGCAGCTTGCTCCAAGCCCCTGTGTCCAACCTGGCCTTGAACACTGCCAGGGATGGGGCAGCCACAGCTTCTCTGGGCACCCTGTGCCAGCACCTCAGCACCCTCACAGGGAAGAGCTTCTGCCTAAGAGCTCATCTCAGTCTCCCCTCTGGCAGGTTAAAGCCATTCCCCTTTTCCCGTCTTTTGGGCCACACAGGCCCAAATCCCCTCTACACATGACAGCATTTGATGATTGTTAAGATACAAAACTCCAGAAATCATGTTTCATTTAGTTTAGCACAACATTCCAAGAGGAACACAAATAAGGATTTCCCAATACACAGCCATGATGATGTCACTGATTCTCACTTGAATAACTCCACACACTGTTGAAATACAGAATATTCCATGCTCTGATTTTGGAGTTAAGGTCTAATATTGAGTTGGCTGAGGAAAATATCATCTCCCACCAACAGCCAAGTGCAGCCTGGATGCCATTCTCCTGACCAGTTGGCTCATCTTTCTGACATACTTTTCCCCATTCCTCTTCCCATTTTGGAGGCACAGCAGGTAACTACTGGCAGAAAAGAATATGAGATCTTTGCAGATTTTTACAGTCTAACAAATAATAGTTTCTACTTATGGCTTAAAATATATACTGTTATTAGGGGGGAAAAAGTGTGTTGGAGGTTTAGAGCCATTCTTCCATTAGCACAGTCTTAAAGTTAGTGGTCTGTGTATTTTGCAAGTCACATTAGAAACTATGAAGCACTCAAATCACTTCAAACATTTTAGTTTCTCTTCATTCCTTGCTCCAAACAGTCCTAGAAATAAGTGCCTAAATTATACATGTCATTTGAAATGCAGCGATCTCCTTTCATCCACATAATGAGCAAGAACATTCTTCTCTGTAAACTATAAAATGCTTTAGTTACTTACATAAGGCATGAGTCACTGCATGCGCAGCAACACAGAGCCTCCTTCACGGAGAAACTCATGTAGTAAATGGTGGAAGGAAAATATACCAAATTAACTCTGATTTGCTTTTAGCACAAACTGTGAATTATTAATCACACACAGCTTGAGCTACGCTTGTGGCAGGCGCTCTCTGGCATGGAAAAGAATTTGGGGGAAAAAAGTGTAACATTAGGAATCGAGAAATGTAAGTTTTCTCTTAGTTCTCGGCCAAGGTATGTGGCTTCTCTGTCCCTTCCTTTTGGTGTATCAGACATACGATGTAAAAGGGATTTGTTTTTACAGCAGCAGCATGTAGAGATGCAAGACCAGAAAATCTCAGTTTAAACTATTGGAACTTGGTGGTTTGAGGTGATAAAAATCCAAGAAAACAGGGACTAGAAAGAGACAGATTTAGGAGTAAAATAAACAGATGTTGCGGCGGCCGCATTAGAAAGCTGATTTCCAGCCACGTCCTTTTTCCTTCCTCCCATAATAAGACTTAACTTATGAGGGTTTGTGAAGTGCAAAGGCTTTGAAAGAGTGGAAAATACTGTCAATTTTATACCCTTTGTGCATACTGAGGCCTCAAAACCTGTGCAGTAACCCCTGACTTTCCCACGATCTCTCAGTGCACTGAGGACAGTTATGATGAGTGGCCTGATGAATGAGTATTCATTAACACTTAGAGAGGAGAAACAACTCTGTTTAAACTACTTCCTTCAATGGGGGCATAGGAAACAATGCAGGAAATCATATTTCTGGTGGTTCACTTCATCCTTCCTCATCCACACTGATGCACCAAGTCAGACCTGTCTGCTCCTTTCCATGCTGCAGTCAAGGAATACTTGCTCCTTACCTGCACAAACCACAAGGGCAAAGTAACATGGCCTCTGCATTTTCCTGTTCCATGTTTCTTTAAGTGGCCTTTAAGACAGGGCTGCTGCTCCCAGGAAGTGATAGGACTGAAGGGTATTTTAGAATATAAGCTGTCACAGTACCAAATGCCAAATGTCAAGGTAATGAAATTCCTGAGCAGAATCTTCCATATTCCTCCTGTTCACCTGTCACTGCTGATACTTGCAAATCAAGCAGGAATTTTACTTCCTCCAGGTCACACTGGGGAAGGAGGACCGTTCATCTGTCAGTAAGACAATTCTCCTTGCCTGAGTCAGATCTGATAAGAGTGCTTCTCCTTTTGCCACATATCCTTCTTCTCCCAGTTTTTTGTAATGTATAATAGCTGTTCTCTTTTGCCTTTCTTTCTTCCACTATAACACTGCTAAAGAACAACTCAAACCTGGCAGCAGGTAAGATCAGAGAGACCAACAAC